TTTTGCGTGATCAACATTGCTGATAACTTGGTCTTCTAGTTTGATGTTTATTTTGTTATGGCTTTCCGCGAGAACATAACACTGAATTGCTGGAGCTGGATTTGTCTGAAGCGAGCAAAACAAATACCCTTATGTGCAGTTTTCTGAATTTTGTAACGATTGGCTGAGTTTAATTTGTTTGAATGAAGACCCTCACATGGACCAGTTATTCACTGAGTTATTAAAGCGAGGAGAAGAGCTACATGGTGAATCATGGTTTAGCTGCGAAGCTCACAGCAACTGATCTTTTGCTTTTAAGATCTTTAGGTAGGTTGTTTTCGTACAAAAAATTCATTTCTTCATTGTCAGCAAGAAGTTGTTGCAATAATGTAATTTTAACTTTGTTTGAAGGAAATCCTACTTACTTGTAGGTTTTTGACAGATGTTATGTATTTTCAACTTGACAGCACAAAGCATAATTTATATTTATCTCTTAGTACGCGAAGCGATCAAGTTTAAAAATAAACTATAGTTGCTTTAAAACCGATTTTTGGGAAGATTTTACTAGATAATGAGATTGACCTTTTTTCTGCCCGCATATCAACGCGATAACTTCTACATTGAGGATTTTGTTTATATTTTAGTTATCTGCGAAACTACGGGTGTCCGATCGAGCGAGGGTTTTAAAATATCAGCTCGAGTGAGACAAGTTCAGTGCCTTCAAACACATTGTGGGCAAGCGTTAATTTTTTGGGGCAAATCACTGTCCAAAGATATGTTGTTTTTGTGTCCACAGTGGAGCTCCGGACCTTATATATCCAGGAACTTCCTTATATGAACACATTTTGTGAATGCATCTTGAAAAAAATCGGACCTACGCATGCACATTTCCAGTACAACGCAAGGAAATTGATGTCGTTAAAGTCCGTTTTACTATGAGCTATTCTTCGAGAAAATTAAGTAACGACAAGGTTATAACCACAGCTTGCAACTTTTGAAGACAAATTGCCTGTTCTTTCCAGGTTATGAGTGGAAACATCTTATTTTTAGGCAATAAAATATTTGAAATCCCGCCATTTTTTCAAACCCGGCCAGGGGATCTGGGCAAAAAAGTTCACGCATGCTCATTACGTTTTTCCGCCTTGAACTGCTACGCAGGTTACGCAGGCTAGTGTCTTGATGGAGCCCTGGCTGAAAATACAAGGTGCTTCAACTTCTTTTTTAACGTGGCTGAACACAGTTTTGGCAGTTTGTGAGTATATCTAGGATGTCATTTGCTAAAGCATGGCAAGAGAAAGGTTGTAGCTCACATACTGAAATTTGGTAAATGAAAAATATACTGATGAAAGATTTTGATTGACTGGTAAAATGTGACGTTTTCGTAGTTTCCATGGCAACATGAACGATTGAATACAACCTTAAAATTTCACTTTTGCTCAGTTTACATAAAATTCGCTCATTAGATTTTCCTATAAACTTGCACACAGCTTACTATAATTAATCATTACCATTTGAAACTTATTTGACCAAATTTTAACAGACAGGTTTTTAGATAATCAATGATATAATTGTACTGTAATTTTTAAATGTGTCACAAAATTCGTCTGTTCAACGTCCATTTTAAAGTTCTCATTATTCAAAATACGATAAAAGTAATAATTCTGCCGAATATCACAAAATTTTACTGAGTAGATTTTGAGAAATCGTCGTCTGTGTACCATTGCTTTTTTCGTCGCCATGTTTGTTTGTCTAATTTAAAACACGCGCCGTCACGCGAGTTACCGCTGACCACCCGCAAAACTGTGTTCAGCCACCTTAATGTGTTGATGGCGTTTATCGACTTTATCTATCATCATAAAGAAGAATGAGTCCTAATTGGACTTATGGTCTCTACTCTACTTAGGTCTGCTCTTGATTTCGTCCTTTTGCCAAAGTTAAATGCATCGTAGAGAAAACGGGAAAATTTTCTCGGCTGTCTTTTCACTGGGTTCTTCATACAAGGACTACAAGGTGTGCTCGATAACTGGGAAACAAAACTAGAGATTATGACTACTACATGTACGCTCGATATCAAGCAAGGTAGAAACGAAATCCAAATAGTGTCAATCCATGTAGTTTATTTCGTACATTTTCGTACATATTTTCACCTCAACTTAACGTCTTTACATATTTTCTGAACGGGAACAGTTCATGTCACTATCTTCTAAGAATAAATGTTCGGCTAACACTTCACAGTTTTTAAATAGTTTTCAGCTCTAAAGACATAAAAGAGTTAAAGGGTGTGTTCAAAGAAATATTGTGGGAAGAGCCGGTGTGCTTATCGGTTCAGTTTGCGCAAAAATCTACAGTCATGTAATGGGAAACGAAAGTCTCCAGCTATGCTAGATCGCAGTCCTGGAATGAAATTGAACTTTCCCTCCACAAATATCTTGTCAATCCGATGCAACGTTACGCATTTGAAAATAAAAAGTAAGCGATAAAACTTGAACCATTTATCCACCTTATAACTGCTTGACACTTGTTCGTCATGAAGCTGTGGCCCCAGTAAAAGTAAAATATATGGAAAAGAACCTCAATATAACGAAACCTCGTTGTCGCGAGCGTACTTTGTCACTCCCTTGGCCCTTCGCTATATCGAGGTTACAATTTCATTGACAAAAAGTAACAAGAAGAAACTTTCCATGACACAGTCGCTTTCGCAATAGGTACTATTCTATTCCCGTATTCCAAAATTACGTTTGAAAACAAACCGGAACTATATCAAGACTTTTTGCATCGAAGTTCTCAGGGGCAGATCCAGGATTTTTTTTAGGAGGGGGTGCACCCGTCTCTTGCTCTTCTTCAACACCAATAAACCACATAGTTTTTTTTTCGCAGAATACCAGTTGTATTAGAAAACCGAAGGTCATCTCCGGGGGGGGGGGGTGCGCATCCCCTGCACCCTCCCCCTAGATCCGCCCCTGGTTCTCCAAGTTTTACTAATACAGTAAAACCCCGCGTGTAAGAACCTAGTGGTTCAAAAACATGTTGGCAGAAATTTGTCATTTTAATACCCAAAAATATAAGAACGTGTTTAGCCAAGCAAGATTTAGCAGGTTCTTATAACGTGGGTAAAAGTTTAATTATGACAAATATAATAGCAATATTTTTTTGGAGATTGCAAAATTATATTACAAGAAGTACGGTACAAAACAAGTTTGCTGTCATTGTCTCTATGAACCCTTCATAAAGGAGGTTTGCACAATATCTCCGTCATAGAAATTAAGAACCTGCGTGGACTTAATTACCGATAACTACCCCAAAATATAACAACCTTCTTGCTAGAATTAAAAAAATATATAGTTTCTTACACGCGGATATTTACTGTATTTTGAAAAGGTAAAGGAAACACTTGAACGAGTTTGTATTAGGAGCCATACACTTTTGAATAAGCGGTCACTCTCTCATAACGCTCGAGAAAACCCATTGAAATTCCTCTGATCAAATTCATCAGCAAGTTACAAAATTTTCAATGATATTGGTGGGTGCTGAAATTGCCTAAATAGCGCGACCAACTTTTGATAATCCATTGATGGGAAAATAACGAAAAAAAAAACCAGCAACAAGTGGACTTTAGCTTCGTTTTTTGTCACGAATTATATATCATTTGAGAAGCTATGTTACTTGAATGACTTGTTCACTCGATATGAAGACAAAGCAAAGTCGGTTTAAAAAACCATGGGCCCGGTAAGCTGTCTCCGTTTACATTAAAGATCGAGGTTTCAATGGTTTTGCATCTAACATGATAAAACTCTCAGTTAATGAATCAAATGGAGTAGTTTGCTAGCCAGGACCCGCGCTATTATTCTTTATATTTAGATTTGAATATTTGATTCCGGGCCCCATGGCTGGATATCGAGGGAAAACATTTCCATGTGTGCACGAGGAGTTAAACACGTTAAAGAGCGAGAACACGAAGAGTTCTAGACACGCAAGCCTGTAGAAACGAAGACATGTTTTTTACTACTCAGTTTTTAAATGTAATTTAAGAGTAAAGCTCAGGCAGATGATAAAAACATTAACCGAAACAGAGTGTTTGTTAAAATTAGAGAGACCAAGATTCACGTTTACGGCAAACGGTAGATTTAAGTTGAGAATTTCTAAGAATAGAAAATAGGCAGATAAAAATTGTCCACAACAATTCTTACGGATAAAACTGGCGTAAAAACCACTTATTTTTGAGTAGAAGTAATAAATAGTACACGACAATTAAGGAAAAAACTTGGTCACATGGTACAAATTCACGTTTGCCGTTTGGAGTAAACGTGAATCTTAATTTCTCTATTAATGAATCACCTCCCACGCGAGACGACTAGGTATGATTATTGATATCCATACAATATTCACGCCTAATAGTAAGAACGATCAAACAGTCATGATAAAATAAAACTCAACCGTTAAACCATTATGCTTAATAAAGGCTCTTCAAAATTTTACCTTCTTGAATTAATTGAAAAAATTGTTAGAATAATATAGCCTATTCAAATAAATAAACACTTTAACTAAAATAATATAATATAATAATGGTTTAAATGTCGATTCAGAGAGCAAAGGTTTCCTTAGCCTCCCACACAGACGCTCCTTAAGGCTTCGTCAGACGTTCCTTACCATGCCTAACCCACAGGCCTTACGCGTCTACGAGGGGGGCCAAAGTTCCTTAGACTTTTCTTGTGTGATTCAAACAGTTTTGACAGTATAACAAAATCTCTTTCAAACGGATGTCTCGAATGTGAAGCCAGAGCAGCTACCTCGAGGTTACAGATTAATGATCTACAAGAAGAACAAGCGATCTGAAAGATCGGTTGACGGTTCACTGTGAATATTCTGACCGACCAAGTAAGCCAACTTGTGAGCATACTGCAAGTCAAGGAAAAGCAAATCGGTTGTTAGATGAGACATGCTGATAGAAACAGGTAACCCAAGCTTAAAAAGCGTTGTTTGAGAAGTACACTGCTATGATTTAAACATGAACACACAAAAGTAAACGAACGTATCTCGAAGTTAAAGGCGTTTACAACATCAAAAGCAACTTTCAAGGATCCGGTCGGATCAATAGGATCGATTGAGAGAAAACTTTGTGAGTCTTTTCTTCTTTGTTTTGACACCTCTGGCTTTTGATTACTTTTCAGTGATCACCTCCTTTAAAAATGAGAACCCTGGGTCGGATCAAAGGATACGATCTTCAGTTGATTATTTTCATATCCATCCACGATTTCCATGTCAACTATTTGAACTATCGACTACAAAATAAAAAACCCGCGGACTAAAATTACATCAACGCAAAATAATAAATAAAAATAATAAATGTGTGTTGAGAAAATGAAGGAAACATGGCGAGCAATGACAAAATCGGTGAGCTGCAAATTCCTGTTGAACAGCTGGAACAGTCTGAAGTTGGTGAAAAGAAGCGGCATCTATCGCCACCACTTTGTTTCCTTACCTGGCAAGGAGCAGGTACTCTCACTGTACCAGGCCAGTTGTAGTAGAGATGTGTGAGCTTGTATGACAGTCTGTTGAACAATGCAATTAAACTTGATGAGAATCTAATATATCAACGTAACTTAGCTAATGCTACACACAGACTTGTACCAACTGGTTTTTAACGTCTTTAGTTACCAGCCTTTTTTAATAACCCGTTTTTTGAAAATAGTTAAACGATCGGACTTTGTTTAGTGGGGGTAGTACAAACAAACCACTTTGTTCCAAATCTAACTGCAAGTCACTACTTTACGGTTCAAAGTAAATCATTCTTCCATTTCCCGCTAAGCAAGCAAAAACCGTGATTACCTTCTTTGAGTATCGATCTTAGAACGCTGAAATATTTAAGCTTAAACAGGCTGATAAAAATATGAAAAATTTTGAACCTTCACTTTTTCATTATTCTGCTTATCAACTGAAGGATACAATGCCTTATGACCCATGTGCCGCTGAATTAAAGAAAACAGTGGAGCTGGGATGACAGAAAACGAACAACTCACTCACACCATCTTGTACCTCCATGAGGAGTTGTATAAAAGAAAGAAAGAAAGCCAGTACAAATAAATCCTCCCTTTAACACAAAAATGGAGCATACCGTTGCATATAATCCGGCTTTAACTCGGACTTGTCATAAACAACAATGTAGTGAGTTGGGGTGACTGTGCCCTGACGAACATGTTGACTGATGAGATAGAAGTCATACCTGCAAATACCAGAGGAGAAAACAATCACTTCCACGAATGGATCTTCTGAGTAGCTACTGTTTTCATGACCTACTTTGGATCAAAGTTTGAGACATCTGCCTTCCAAACATTAACAGCATAGATGAAGGAGGTATTGCTCACTCAACTCTCCCCATATATAATATTAACACAGCCAGTCCTTCCACTTGGAAAAATTCAGGTTCCCAGTCGTTTCCATACAAAGCCAAGTCACTACACTGCGGTTCAGTCAAATTGCCACATTTCAATTCACTTATAATTAAGAGAATATTCCGCTCAATTTGCTCCTCACATGAACATAATGACGAGTTGAGCATAGAGTAATAGGAAATTGAAATATCGCACTGTTCATAGCTATTGTTCTACAGAATGTAACTGACTTGACACCAAAACCGAAAATTACAATGGGCAACCAGACTTCACCCCAATGATGTCATATGTTAAATACCTTTATCCCCGCCGGACACCATGCTGGTACACACTGCTTTAAATGTTTGGCTGATAATTATCAACACAAAATATTAGAGAGCTTTAAATTCGAGGACGAGGACAACATTTAAATGAGGTTAAATAAATATTTATTTAACAGAGTTATCAACAAGGAAAGCGAGCGTGGTCAGCGGTCGGTCTTTTGGCTCAAGCACCTCCATGTGCTCAGTACAGTGTTTTCGTGGCGGCCATTCTCTTCGTTTAGCCTTTAGATCATTCTTTTACCCCCATCCCTCCCCCTCCTAATTCTTCCACTGTTAATCAGTGTGACGGGTGCCTGGTTCCATTGGCGTGGGGGCTCATGGCTGGAGGGCGCGGGTTTGCCAGCCATGGGGGCGTAACTCTGTCTATGGGCTGGCCGTGCCTTAGGTGGAAGCCCCTGGACATCCCGGGCACCCACCTCCACTCAGCGACGTTTTTTTTTTCTCGCCTATTCTCTAAAAATTGACACCCTGGAAGGCTAATTTTTTTCACCACAAAGGTTAGCACGCTTATTTCCGTTGAAGGAGGCAAAGTCCTCTCGCGATCGCTAAATGATAAAATTTCTAACATTTTTTCCCCACTAAAAATTGCTCAAACCCCTAGTAGAACGGCGGCTACATTTTTTTTCACCACTTAGTATTAGAAAAAGGTTAGTCGTCTTGGTCTTAGAATCTTATTTCTTATTTCCGTTGAAGGACGCAAAGTCCTCTCGCGATCGCTAAATGATAAAATTTCTAACATTTTTTCCCCACTACGACATTCTCGCTCAAACCCGTAGTAGAATAACGGCGGCTTTTTTCCCCAAAATGACGCTGGTTCACGACACTCGTAGTCTCTTGGTCTTAAAACCCGACAAAGGTTAGAATGAAGGACAAAGGCGATCGCTAAATGATAAAATTTCTAACATTTTTTCCCCACTACGACATTCTCGCTAAAACCCGTAGTAGAATAACGGCGGCTACTACATTTTCCCGCCAAAATGACGCTGGTTCACGCGCGTGCACTACTTAGTATTAGGAAAATCTCGTACTCGTAGTCGTCTTGGTCTTAGAATCTAGAGCTCTCTGATATATACTGCTAATGGCATACCAGTCCTTTCTTGTGATAGTATGATCCAGAACTGTACCAGGACCTGGGTTATCCAGCTTGGGCATTGGTCCATTTCCCTGTAACAGTAGCGGTGTTTATCAAAACTTTGATCTCGTAACCCATGTTGTTGGCTTATAAAGTGTAAGCTCTCATGAGCGGTTAGCCTCTGGACGTGAAAAAGGTGTCCATAACTAAAGCCAGCCACTTACGGGAATGGGAAAATACTTACTTTGTTTGTATGGGAGTTCAGGAAAAAGGGGTTCTGTGAATGAGGCCATAAGTAGGGATGTCCGCTTACGAGGTTATGAGAGCTTCCACTGTATTTGGTGGTACGCTCTGAAATGGTGAAGTACAACTTCTTGTCTGCTACAGAAGTATACTGACAGTTGCCAGTATTCAAGCAAAACAAATTGATGGTCAGACATTTTTCTGTCATCATCCAAAATTGAGTTTGCTTTTTTGACATTAAGAGAACATGTACTGACATAACTGCAAGACCCCTAAATCTATAGTCCTATAATATACCGGTAATACCGCAGGGAATATCATACGTTCAGGAGTACATGATGCAGAACAAATAACATCGTTACACTAGAAAAGAAGGAAGCGATGAGACACTGACCTGGGATGCAAATATTCTTGCATTAATTCTCTTTGACACAATAACAACAGCCATCTTGGGTTCATAAGCCTCTCCAAATTGGACAAAACACTCAGACAGCTGCTTTACTTCATAACCAGCAACAGTTCTAAGCTGTCCATCACCAACACCATCACGGAAGACAACTATACGGTCTGGCAAAGTGTGGTTGACCTAAATATAAACTTCATAGGTTAAACCTACACCCCCCTTGACGGTATTAGGCAGATTAAGCAGAATAGGAAACACAAAGGAAAGACTAGACAATCGTTTTGATCACAAGGAAACAGCAGCTTTAAAGTTTCGTGTAATCTTCTCACTATAAGAATTGCACTTATACCCCAATGTGGCAAACAAGAGAAACTTGAACAGTCTGTAACTGACTTACCTCATGGTACTTCTTCAAAGACGCGGTAAGAGCCATTTTAAGTCCATCAATAAGCTCCTGGCCCGGTGACTGAAAGCACACTCTAGAATACCATCGTGTCAGATGCTTGTTCATGCTTGCTACAAATCCACCAACTGAGCGACCACCACGCGAGGCATCATGATACACATCAATACCAACAACCATCAGGCTTTTCTGTTGATAATGAACCATGACAGTTTATAATATTAATACAGAGGAACCACGCCCAAAGGCCACCTCGGTAATACGGTAACCTCGATATTACGCCCATTTTTTTTTAGCCCAGCAAAACGGCCAAACATTTCCATGCGGTCACCCGTTAACACGGCCAACGGCCACATTTTAAATCCCAAACAGTAGATTCCCTTATAATTTCACCCCTTTAATACGGCCACTTGTTCGAAATTTAGAAAATTAAAGTGACTATGACGTGTCAGTTTTCTTGACCTAGTGCTATGAGCCTGTCCGCGACTGTGCTCACGCGGTGGGTGGCTCCTCCTAAAATGTTCTGCAATTGGTATAGGATTTAATGGAGCCGAAACCAATTGTGGAATTGCACGCATTTTAGGCATCCTACTGATGAACAGTTGGGACACGTAGATATATTTTTTAGCAACTACTATAATTTGCAGTCTGTCTACTTTGAATTTGTACTGTTTGTAGACTACAGTACACACAAAGAGCACTTGCTGCAATTTTATAGCTGAATTTTTAAATTGTTTTGTTCACTGTTAAGTAGAGGAGCATTTCAATTACTAAACGCGAGTATCTTCATTGCGGTTGTTTATTAATGCAAACAGTTGTTCAAGAAATGCGAATGCGATGTACGGTGTACTTGTCATTACGGCCCTCAAGTGATGAAATTTGAGCCAGTCTGTCTATTTTGAATTTGTATTGTTTGTAGATAATGCGGCCAAGTTTTTTTGACCCATTCGTGACCACATTAAAGGGGTTCCACTGTAATAACATATATTATTATTAAAGTCATATATTATTATTATAGTTTAAGTCAAACTATATTTGTCCTGCCTGCATTAGGTTGTCAACTGACGGAAATATTGAACCCAAAGAAATTATGTTAAGTAGTTCAAATTTACTTGAAAATTCAAGCTAATAGCTGACTTTCTAGCAGTACATTTATTAGGTTTTGGAGGATGGTTTGAACTCGTCTATGCACGTACATCATCATTCAGACAAAAGAAATCCTTGGAAACCCAAGGGAAGCCAGTTAGGGCCAAGAAAAACTTTGCAACAAAAGTTTACAAGCCAGTGCAGAGGTTGTACGTTTTAAAGAGAGACCTTGGAGCAAAGACAAACAAGAACTAGTACAATATTAATTAACTATAGTGAAGTCAATCAACAACATTTTCCTCACCAAGATTATTGACTTCCATGATACTTCTCTGATAAAATAAAACTTATCATACACTCTCCCCGAGAGCGTGGTCAAAAACACAAAATTAGAACTAACCAAAGGAATATCTAAGGCCCATAGTTCTCCACCAAGTTTGCAATTAATCTGCAATGCAATCTTCTGTGTGACACTGCGCAGTTTGTTTGGCTGTGAAATCGTCCTTGCATTAATAACCTGAACAGAAAAAGGTAACATTTATGGTCTTTGGCATACAATGAACTTTGCAAAATGTTTTAAGGCCATGGCATTTATTTATTTACTTTTTTGGGGTGGGGGATGGGGGGAATAATGTAATGATAATTATCCTCTTGGCTTTCAACTATGGGAGAATCAGGCTTGCCTCTTAAAATAACAAAGTTAGGAGAGCAGGATATTCGAATAATGAACATGTCTCTGCCACAGAGCTCAAGCAAAGAGTAAATAATTTTTTAAAACTTGAAAAAAAATGAGCTGAAGGCAACTTAACAAATAATTCACTGAGCATAACTTAAAGTTCACTTAAAATACAAAATTATTACTTGATCTTATGTCATTTGGTCCGCACACTTCTTCTTTTCTATAATTATTACTATTATAATCTTAATAAATACTTTATTTATACTGCAAAAAATAGATCAGCTGAGTATAAAAAACAGCCGGTATAAACCTACGTGCAGTAATAAAATATTTCAAGATTAACAAAAAGAAAAAAACAATTTAGTACATAGCAAAAAAGCGGCAAGACTAATATTTACAATAAAAAAAGGTGTTAAACAAGTAAATAAATTAATCTACAATCTACATGCTGTTTTTTGTCTTGCTCTTGCAAGTACTTAAAGGTCTTTCTTTTGAAAGATCATAAAATCTTCCACAGTTTGAGACAGCTCATTTTTTACAATTCATTCCACGCTATAACCAGTGAGTAAGAGCAAACATTGGCTAAAAATGTGACCCAGCCCCTTCAAGCACCTACTGTGCAGAGACTTACCTGCGAGGGAACAGGGCTCTCAACACAGCAAAGCTTCTTCACTGCAGAATATCGGTCATCTCTTGATGTGGGAAAAATGATCACTACCATTTGAACATGAGGAGTCAGGTGTTCTCTGATGCTCCGTAGGTAAGTTTCTGTTCTGTCATTTGCCAATTCTATACTCCTTGGATCTTGAACCTTAAAGAAACAACAAGCACCCAGAGAAGGAGTTAATCTCAACAAGGGTTGGACTCAAATTTCTCTCTAAAGGATGGTTAAATAAAAATAGGTGAGCAGAGAAGTCACTAAGATTTCAAGTTGACGGGTAAATACAACAAGTAGGCGAGGAATAAAACGGCTGGAGATTTCTTTTGGTTCTATTTTTCTTCTATCTTCCTATGAAAGTAGCCGAGGGAAATCCTTGGCCCCCACCTCTTAATGACAGTCCTGGTAAGTAAATTTACAGACATGCTAAGCATGTGGTGCACAAGACAGAAAGACAGCACACATAAAAGGGGAATTGTTAGAAAGAGAAATAACCAAGAAATAACTAATGCTGATGCTAGAACAGACTGTACTGGCATTAGTTAAGCAGTTGTGTTTTTATCATTCTTCTTGGTTAAGGTGGTTCACAAGAGTTCCCTGTAAAAGATAAAGTTCTAACACAACAAAATGTAAAAGAAAAAATACTTTGCATCATGATTATTACCATGGCAACATGAAAGCTCACTCAAAAGAGCCTCTGAAGTTCACAATGTATGAGAAGGGCCACAACAACTAAGTCTTTAAGCTTGCAAATGCAAGGTTACAGGATAATAATAGGATAATGGTGTTTTGAGGTCTACTACAGTGTTCCATACTAGTTTGTAAGGATTAGAGAAACACACAAGAAGAAAACACTGTAATTTCCTCTTACATGGATGCCCATGGAAGGAGTTACTTTTTTCATCATGGTAATGAAATCATTGGCCTTGCTCCTGTCCCTGTTGACATAAAGTACAACCCAGTTTTGAAGAGGAACAGCAGTGATGACTTGCTCCTTGACTGCCTGTTGACCCCAATCAGCTTGAGGGCTTGATTGAAATGATGTACTACCAAGAATAATCTTTTCTAAAGGCAACTGTCTTCCTTCAGTCTAAAATAAGGTAAAACATATATGAATCAAATCCAGATTTACTTAAGTTACCTCATTCAGATGGGAATGTTAAAAAAATCTTAAAATTTGCATCAAAATAAACTTCTTTACTGCACTTAATGGATACAGTCTGTAATTTGTTAATGTGATAGTAATGGGACATATCATGACACGGCTGTGATGGAGGGGTGAAAACCACCCAGCGTGCAAAGAAAGTTGTGTCCGATAGCCCAGGGCTAGTGGATTTTGCTATTGGGCTAGTGTTTTTTGTTCTTAACTTCCCCGACGGGCAAGTGCTGTTTTTGGGAGAAATTCAAATTATAGAAGGATTGTTATCAATCCTGCCAATCAAAAAGGATTTTGCGGCTAGTTGAAATGACTTGTGGGCTAGTACATGCTAGCTACAGCTTGCCCGAATGGCAGGCTGTAAAACTGACTTTCGTTGAACCCTGAAACCACCTGTATCATTAAATACACCACAAAATCTTGATGACTAGTTGTTTGGCAAAACAGAGGTATCTATCTTTTAGGGAGGTGCTTCATGTGCCTAAAAACAGGTTGTGTCTTACAAGACAACTAAAACAGTATATCCTTCTACAAAGAAAAATATTATTACTTTATTAGCAGCCATTCACATAACATGCTTAGTTTATTAACTTACTCTAAGCATCGTCTGATCAAGTTGAACGCCCCAAGATGTGAGTTCATGCAGAGCCTAAAAAGAGAAAAACAACAGTTATTAGATGGGTGTGTAAAACGTTTACTCACTACTCACGCTTGGTACCAGTTACAAAGGAGTTTCTGGTTTAAATATTAACATAAAAAACCAAAGCTTGTGATGAAAATGTGTGGGTAGAATAGGCCTTAAACTCGCTGAGGAGCACAACTGAATTATCATATAATAAATGTGCTACAACTGGCAAATAGCCTTCTTTTATTAAATTAAAATTGTAGAAAAGAAAACGCAAACTTTACCTCCGGGCAGGAATTGATGTTTTCTATAAACTTCATCATCGCTTGTTGCCTCTGCATAGGACTCACTCTTGTATGAGCTGCGATATCCTAAAATAATAAGAACATTAAATTCAGTTCAATGGAAAAATGAACAAAGTTAACTACCCAGAGCCTAACAATCCCCACTGGATAGTGTTCAAACTCACAAGTGTAGGCTCACATGGAATGTTGTTGCTTTGTCATGCACGGAGCATTTGAAGAGGTTGTTTTGGTATTCCCCAACCAAACCTACCAAGTCCCCTTCCACAGATTCATCACTGAGACAGGTGCCTGGAATAGGAGCTCAAGATTTGTCAGCTATTAATATTGGGATGGACTCTATCTAGCAGCTGGCTCTGGATACCCTAGGCACCCACCTTCCATTTAGTGAGGTAGCCCATTAAACACCTATTTGGAATCTTAATAGCCAATGTGAATTTGCATTCTTCTCTTATCCTGCTATTCAACAGCCCCCTCAAAGACATGTCTTGGGTCTAGTGGTTCTTTGTTTTCTCTTGAGTACAATGACCTCTATAACCAAAATTTGTACAGGAAAGTGGGTGTCTTACCTTCATCACCCTGAAGTCTTGTCTGATAGCATCAGTTAAACCGGTAATGTAACACAACTCAGGAATCAAACACACAAGCCCTGGTTTCCTACCTTTGCCCTAAAATGAGATAGTAGGAGATGATAGGTAAGTATGGGAATTGCTTGCTGCTGCCAAAGAAAATATCAGTAATTACACTTTAAAAAACAACCTGTGTAATACCAAAGTCAGAAAAGTTAAAACCTTCTGAGGTATACTGAGCAGTATTGTACTGAAACTTACTCTTTGGAGTTCTTTTTCTTTTGGCCTGTGAACAAGCAATGGCTGTTCAGGATCATGGAGGTCTTTATTGTACACTTTCCTAAAAAAAATGAAAATGATTTTTCTGACCAAGCAATAAACACAGTTCTCCTACCAATAATGAAATTATAATGTGTTGCCTATCTTACTAATAGAAGTACCAGTAAATTTTATTGATTAAATAACCTACTTGTAATAATCCATGTAGGACATTTCTTCCCCAGTGTGGAATGTGAATTTACATCTTGGGTTCTGGTCAAAGGCAACATCGTCTATTCTGTAAGTCTTGTTGTTATATCTGATAAGGATAAAAGAACACAATGTTACAGTAATGCATTACAAGAACATAAGGTAATTAATTCTCAGGGATCAAAAAGCCCAGAGGGTTACTTCCTTATAGGAGGCTAATGGGGATGTGCCGCTGGATGGGGTCGCATTTTCACGACTGGATTGATTATAGTGGGATTGCACATTTTTGGATTTTGGGGGGTACAAAAGTTCAGTCTTCATATTTGCGGTTAGCAAACGTACCAGAATGTTTGTACTGTGGGTGAAAGGTATAGTGTTCTTCATTCAATTTAAAACTAGATGTGTAAATTCATTTTAGGATGACCTGTTTAAAGGATTGATATGGTAGATACATAAATAGAAAGTGACGAAGTTGGGATCGCAAAAGTTCAATTTGCCCAACAGTGACTAAGATGGGTCTTTAATAATTGGCCACAGAATAGACTATAATGGGGTAGAAGTTTTGAGAGGCCAGCAGCACATACCCGCAAAAATTAACCCAAGTACCCCCTCCCCGGGTTAAAAAAGCCCACAACAAGGAAAGGGTTTCAGACTTTCCTAGCAGCTACTTTCATCTGTCCAGGTGACCCAACTGTTTAACATCTGATAGTGTGTGCATTCCATTTTTCAAAAAACAATACAAAGCTAACATGAGGCATACTGAAACAATGTTTTATAACTTTCCCAAATTAAATTATTAGATATGCAGGGTTGTCACTAAGATTTCAAGTTGCCGGGCAAATACAACAAGTAGGCGGGGAATCAAATGGCTAGGGATTTCTTTTGGTTCTATTTTTCTTCTATTTTCCAATAAAAGTAGCCAGGGGCCACTCTCTTAGTAGCTGTGGAAAATACCCGGCCCCCGGCTCTTAATGACAACCCTGGATATGCAACGCCATTTTAATCACAATTTCCTTTCAAGCTATAGATACTACCCTCAACATATGCAAGGCAACCAGTTTAAGTTTATTACAAGGCAATATCCTTTTGGCAAAAAGAGAAATGGTAATTTTAATGCAGTGTTTTCACTGTCACACCATCAAAAATAAAATGCAAACTAGTCAATACAGAAAGTCCGGAATCTGGGAAATGAAAGAAGGTAAATATACAAAAAGCCTTGCCAAGAGTCAGCCAGCTAAATGTTGAGTCACGCAAGCCTGGAAATTCAAGCCTCTTCTATCGCAAAATGAAGAACCCTTTGGAACCGAAAATTTGTGTAAATTAAGGTTTTTAGGTGCTGAAAGTAGAAACTCAGAACAATTAATTTTTTTCTCAGTTTGAATTTTGGTGACCTCATGTGAAAACCCCCAAAAATAACAATAAAGAAATGAAGTAACACTTAAATGCCATCTGGCATAAAACTTGTTAAATTGCCGTTATTTGGAACTTGGAAATTGTGTACATGAATCTGATTTGAATGCAGCCTTAAAAAGAACCACAGAGCATTACAGTCCTAGTCAGACACAAAATGGACACCACAATACATCCTTAACTAACCTGGTTAACACAATATTTCCAACAAGCTGCTTCTTAGTCTCTTCCTCAAATCTTTCTTTCCTTTTAGCATACAACTCATTCCTGTTGACACAACAACAACAAAACTCAAAAAGTACACTTGGAAAAATTATCTTCTTCATAGCATGAAAATTACACTCATGATACAAGCAAATGAACCAAAATTTTACCCACTGAAAATTAGTTGCCAAGTTGCAAGTAGAATTCTTAACCTCCTGATCTTATAAATTTTTACAGTGTAACCACACGAACCGAGGCCACCCAGACAAAATTTTGAGACAAATTTTGAAATTAGCCAATCACAAGTCGAGATCAAAACAATGAAATAAATTGCTCAAATTTTGTCTGGGTGGCCTCCGTTTGTGTGGTTTCTGTGTATCAAGGGGGGGTTATGGATAAAGATCCTTGTTTGTTTCAGAAAATTGATGGGTCATCTTGAATCTAGCTGCATTATATTACAAAGATCCTTGTTTGTTTCAGAAAATTGACACCTGTTCCCAGTTGTTTAAGTTGTTTAGAAAAAGAATCGGTTCCATAAAATCAATGGTTTTCACCTAGTCATCTTGAATTGATTGATTGTGTATCTGGCACACTCTGATGATTACCCACTAATTCTTTGATATGAGCTGCATTATATTACAATAACTTTGAATGTGAGGCTGAAGACCTTGAGTAAAGTAACGCATAGAATCTGCATCCGATAATTTTAAACCCCGTGATGTCAGTAAGATAAACATCGATGCCCTTCCTTCACCTGTTTCCGGCTAAGAATCCAATCATGCGCCCCCAAGCAAAACGCTGGTGAAAACTTGCATGTAAAAACATCTTCGGAGGGAAAGAAACCAAAAATTTTTGACCAGTTATTAATTTGTGCAATGCGTAAAAAAGAATCAAACCACTGGCATCATTCAGGATTTCCACCGAAAACATCACGTTTTATGCCACTTGAACTAGGTTTTTATCAAGACGTGTCTGAAAAAATGCACAGTTCAGTATAACAAAATAAGTATAACTTTTAGGAATTGTCATAAACTTGACATTTTAAGACCAAAGTTTGCAATGCACCCTAAACTACAAATTCCTAAAAAATGCACAGTTCTTAATAACAAAATAATTTTAAGGAATTGCAAATGTGAACATCAGAAGCTACTGGGAAACTTGTGTAACTTACATAAAATCATAAACTGTTTCTGTTCTAAGCAGCCTGTGTGATACATCACACAAAAGCATCATACCACCTGCAAAGAATAATTATTATAATACATAACAAATTATTTTGTAAAACAATCTGATCAATGGAAAGAGGGTGATAGTATCCGAGATTCTAAGGGTGTGGTCAACCCCCTTATCTGGAGTAAAGAACAAATCTACAAATGTTAATATTTGTACAAACTCGGAAGAGAGAGTACAGCCAAAGCTCAATTGGCTGGAACTCAATTAACCTGACTTTTTTTTTTCTTCTAGTAAATTTCTTAAGACCAGCAAAAAATACTGTAATCAAGAAGATCTTAGAATATTTTAAGGGTTGCACATGATGAACAATAATGGTGATGTCCATCCAGCTGAATGCTGAAACTGAACTTACAAACTATGCAAGACAATGAACATATAAAATTCAATGCATGTTGCTGGACAATCTTTAGGTTTAAAATATTGAAAGTAGCAATGAGAAAGACACTGTAAGCATTCTTACATTTTATTTCTTACAGACTATTTGCCCCAGTCCTCCCTAGTCCAGAAAATGAAAGATTGGAAGTTTTACAAAAAGTATTACAAGAGCAATATTTCATTTATTTTTCCAATGTCAAAGGTGAGAATCTTAGATTTAATACACAGACACTACCTGCAATTACTTCTGTTGGCTAAAGTGAATGATTAACTAACTACAACATGAAATTTGAGCCCCATTAGGAGGGTAGAAAAGTTGTATAATGTCCCAGTGCTATACCCATTACCTTCATAACACTGAATAGAAGTGATATAACCAGGCCACAGTTCTATTTTGTGTTGTGGAATACTAGCAGGTCTGTTTGGATCATAGTAATAACGCCCAACTTGCTTTAACTGCAGCTGTTTCATCACTCTGAATGCAAAAGAATGAAATCAAATCATTTACCAACTATGAAGTCAGTACTAGAGCAGAATTAAACCAAAGCTATTTTCCTTTCACCAGTCAAGCACTGTAATTTTCCCTCATTTTTTATCAAACCTCATGATAATTTGAACCAATTTGCTTTTCCCCAAGAGGTCATTTTTATCAAATTGGAAACTGGTTGCAAAGAGCTAGTTATGTTAAACCAATTTACTCATTTAAAGTGGATTGAAAAAAAAAAAACCTGGATTCCATGCAAAAAAGTAGTGTCTGATAGCCTGGGGCTAGGTGATTTTGAAATGGCTTAGAATTACTGTTAAAGTTTTTGAAGAACCAATTACAGAAGAACTGTCAAATCAATCTGTTCATCAAAATGCTTTTGAGGCTAGTTGAAATGATGTTTGGGCTAGTAAATGTTAGCTTCAGCTTGCCCGAAGGACAAGCTGTAAAACTGACTTTCTTTGCACCCTGCTAGGTGTCCACCAAATTGAAATATTTAGGAGCCAATCAACTAGATCCCGGAAAAACTTAACATCAGGACCAGTAACTATAATAAGCAATTTTTAATGAATAATCTTTTAGAATGTACATGTATAGCTCAAGTCCAAACTGAACAACATATCACCACTAAAGAAAACAAGTATACATAACATAATCTTACTTTCTAAAAATAATATTTAGTAGCTGCAAGCAGTCATCAGGAGGAACTACACGTGTTAGAGTCACAGTAATGGTCACTTTTGATCCATCTGTTTTCCTCTGTGACTCCAGAACAGTTGTCTGTGAGTGGAAAAAAATCAAGAATAAACTGTGGTACTTTGGATATAAAGTTCCACCTTATGATCAGGGCTGTGCTCTAGCAGACCCTGGTGGCCCCTGGCGCCTAACTTTTTCTCTTGGGCGACTAGAAAATCTCAGATTTTTCATACAAATCATATGCTGGGCACCCTGGATTTTACAGGTTAAGAGCACTGGGCTCCCCTCAATTTTCCTTAGAGCACAGCCTTGATGATGCACCCTTGTCTGATGCCCTCTCCTGCTAAAACTATCATGAAACCCCAGATCAATGTAAATGCATAAAAAGATCATTGATGATACACTTTGCTTTTTACAAAGACTATCACACTTCTTTATGAATTTATTCTGTCTTAGAAAAGCAGAATTTTACCAGTGCATTTCAGCCATCATACTCTGCTACAACATAATTGCACATTCCACCAGCCTATGGATTTAGTCATTCTCTCTGTTTGAAATGACCAAATTATACAGTCAAAATTTCATGGTCACTTACAGGAAGTCTAAACTATAGTGTTTTGATTGGGAAAATGTTTATGGTATTGTGGATAAACAGTCACTTAAGATGTGGAGGTTTAACTGTTATATTGAATTATTCTTGGTAAGTTTGCACAATGAACATAGTTTTCCGTGTGGTTTTATGGGCATTTATAAATCTGATGACTTTCTATGTTTTCAGTGACCCAAATAACACCCATTAGAACCAACTTACTGGCTTTAGTTCCTTTGGAAGAAAAAGGATAGAACCATCAAAAGCACTTGCAGATCCCAAAACATCAGTATGGACCTTGAGAAGGCCATGTCGGGCTTTTCTACTGTCAATTTCTGGACTGCAAAGTACAAAGAGTAAATACTATGAGTTAGTGAGTAAAATGCATGGCATACAGTGTAGTAACAACGTAAACAAAGACCGAGCACGCAAACAAGTGATGCATGAAATGAGATGATGCACTATGGTAATCAGGGTTTGCAATTGCAACTGATACAGTCGCCAATGTGACTAACATTTTCTTCTTGGTGACTAAAAATTCTGGTTTAGTCACCACTTTGGCGACCAGATTACTTTGGTTATCCATGTACAAGTGCAAAGTGCAGCTCCATGAATTAGATTTAAATTAAAAGAGTAAAGTTATAACAAACATTTCATCTTATCTTGCTTTGCTTTCGTCATAAGAAATGTGCCAAATCACATAAACAAAGCCAGTTTACCTCCAAATTTATAATGACTTCTGTCCGCGATATTTTCAAACAATCAAATCTGATGGATTTCACCATACTATAGGGCTTCTGATAGGTCATGGAAGTCAAATTTCGCAGAATTTTCAGAGACAGATTTGAGGAAACTTTCGGGGCTAACTTCACCAGAAGTCAATCAGTAAAAAATGGCTGATTTCGTGGGAATTTTCTGGACAAATTTTTCTCAAAATTGATCACTTTGCGCTGATTTGATGAGCGTGTTGCTATTCTAACAACAAAGCGATCAGAAAATGAGCCAATGGCAAAGCTATTAACATTATGACTAGTGCCCAATTTTTTGCAGCATAATTTACGCCTGGTAGGTTTGGGACGTTGTTCATTTGTTGTGGCGATGAAGTTTGAAGATAAATTTGCAAGTTTATGGTAATTAACAGCCCCAATAGCCAAGATAAGATTCAAATATGTTGTATCGACATGTATTTGATAAGATTTCTAGCGAATTTTGTCGTATTTCGCATGTTCTTGTGAATTTTGCGGGATTTCACAGGTTTACCTGAATTTCATGGCTCCGTGAAGACGCTAAATATGAGAAGCCCTGATACTATAAGCTGTGTCATTTACATTATACAAACTGGCAACTAAAAACCTGCATCTGGCTACTATATTTCTAGGCAACCTGAGGATTTTTTTTTATTTCGAGCCCTGGTAATTATGATGAAGATAGAAATTTTTACAATGCAGGGTCGTGTTCTTGCAGTCTGGTGACTCACATGCCATTTAGTGACAAAAAAATATCAGTTTTGGCACAAGACTGAAATGCTGGGCATCTATATGCTGGTTGGATTTCACGGGTTCAGAGATTTTGGCTTCCTACAGTTTTTTGTAGAGCACAACCTTGCAACTTCTCTACAATTTTGATACCTCTATCTACTCAAACTCACTTCATATTAAGTTATTGTACTTTACCTAAAAGAGACATGGTATTGGTAAATTTGTCTTTCTATGAATCGGATTGGGATGAAGTTGGCACTCAGTGAAGTTCTATAGGGACAGAAGAGGGACAATAAAAAATTCATTAATAGCTTGAACCAAGTAACCATTACTTATGACTAACACTCTTAGAGTCTATCCATTAATTACTAATGATTGCCAAATGCAGTACTACCCTGCATTTGTTATAGGGAGTTTGTGGGGCTGCAAAATGACAGGAACAAGAATGTCAAAAAAATAAAATAATAAATAATAATAATAATAATAATAATAATAATAATAATAAACAAAGCCTTACAGGAGCAAAACAACAACTCTGCACAACTATGACATGAAAATTCCTGATACAAACTTTTAGTGATGCTGTGACTGTGACAGACAAAAATTTCTCTTTTCACTTTTTACACTAAGATATTATGGTCCTAAAGTGTTCAACTCCAGGAAAATTCACCACTTTTTGACAAACTTAAAGATCTGGAATCTTTGTGACAAAAGTTTCAAAGATAAAAAATGACTCTTAGTGAAGTCTTCATTACAGTTATCAATGTTGTGTAAACTCCCTATGGACTACACACAACTTACTGTTTGCCAGCAGTCCCTTTTTCACCTGTTTGACTGTAAAACAAAAGGAAGAAATAAAAGTTAAATCAAGGTCTTTGGAATAGAACAGGAAAGCGTAAAATTCTTGAGATAAGTAATTAAGGAAAGTGACAGAAAAACTACTATCCCACCAAATTATTTATAAAGTACTGTGACCTTGCACGGGAAAACGTACCTTAACGCTTATCCGTTAAATGCTCTCTAACGGACAGATAGCTAATGGATTGTTAACGGCCTTCAAAGCATTCTAACGTTTTGTCCTAACCTTCTAACGGTTATCTAGTTGTGCCTAACAGATGATCAAAACGTTCTAACGCTTTCTCCTAACGGTCTAACGGCTAACTAAGTATGTCTAACGGATGAAGAAAACGTTCTAACGGTTACGCAGTTTGTTCTAATGGATGACTGGAGCCGTTTAACGGTTGTCTAACGCTCTACATCTAGGGACTTTTAACATGTGTCTAACGGTTTACATCTAAGGACTTTTAACAAACGAATAGCGTAACAGTTACTTTCAGTCCGATATTATAAACACATGATCGTGCAAAACCATTACTAGTCTTACACTCGCGATTTAAAAAAAAAAAGAGTCACAAAGTGCCGATTTCATCAGTCATCGATGAGACAAACATTAAAAAAAATATTTCCACAGTGAGCATTAATCGAGAGCAAAACTCAGGGATATAAACTTTCACTTTCTCATCGAGACGGAGAAACTCAGAATTTGAGTCCTTTAATATTGTGTGAGAAGCAAACCTAACGTCACTAAACCTGTGTAAACAATTTTAATCACCAGTCGTGAACATTTTTTATTGTTTTACTCAAATGGATTTGTCACCTGTACTTATTTTTACACCATGACTCTGTCAAGAGTTTTTCTAAATTAACTCTTTTACCCGGGCCAGCCGTGGATTCGCGAAAGATTACGCTTTCTTTCTTAACCGAGCATGTGAAAAGCCCTGCCTTTTGAAGTCACGAAGCTAGTCTCGAAGCGACGACGTGTTGGCGCTAGTTTCACCAGATAAAGTTGTTTTCGTCACATGCATGTAGTTTAAAAATAGATTCGTCTGATTCAGAGTTAGACAAAAGTCTATCAAAATATTCATCAACCTTTCAGCCGGAATATGGCCGTTTCTCACATCTTGGAAAATGTAAACAACTTTATGCAAATTTTTGAACCCGCACTTTGTGAATTGAAACCAAATAATAATTATTATTCTACTTCAGTTCGAACGACAAAGACCACTTAATTATTTTAATGATTGCAAATAGCGATTAAAGGGAACGGAAGAAGGTTATTGATTATTTCGGATCCCACCTCGCAGGTCGTAGAAAATAGAAATTACAGTACAAAATACAAGCTCTCGAAACAACCGGACTTTGCCAAATAAATAAACAGTTCATATAATGTCGATCGTTGTTATGATTTTACTTGTCGGCAAACGTGGTTTGTTTTGGATCGTGTATATTATAGTATGAAGGCTTCATTGAATTCATTCGAGTTGTATTTATCAATCAATCGTTACCCGTTTAACGGATGCTAGTTTATTCTAACGGATCCTAACGGCTTCTCTAGCCGTGCTAACGGATGCAGAGTTTTTGCGGTTATGCTGACCCGTCTAACGGTCTGATGCTAACAGCTAAATGTCTCTTGCTAACGGTTACACTGTCCGTTCTAACGGCCTCATGCTAACGTCTAACAGCTGGGCTAACGCCTCTAACGTTCTTAAGAAAACTTTCTAACGGATGACTAACGGATGCTTAACGCTTTTGCTTGTCTAACGGATAAGCGTTAAGGTACGTTTTCCCGTGCACGGTCACATATCATTGCTCAAATATAACTCAGCATTTAAGGTGAACAGATAAAAAAAAGAAGTTTGATGTATCAGTTAAAATGATCAGCCATAGCACCAAAATGTGAGCTAGACTGAAAGAGATCGTAACTGTCTTTATATTGCAAGTGTAAAAATTGAACCACATCACTGAGGAAACTAGTGGCACAGAGTGTCACTTGCTTTTTTTTGGTCCAATAATATGACAAGAATACTCCCAGGCAACCAAGGTAATGGGATATATTTCAAAATAAACAAATGTTGTGTAACAAACAAGCTCTCTTTTCCATTTGACGCTTTATTTTGGAATTTAAGAGAAACCCTTTCTTGTAATTGCCAGTTTAACAGATTCATGAGTTCTTATTCTTCCCTGAACAAATACATACGTTTTAAGAACATCATCAGTTAATTTCATTCCAGCCATCTGTGCTGAAGGGACCTGAAAAACCAATGCAAAAAATCTAAATCAGTTTAAATACATAATCACCTCACTATACATGTCCACATCATCACTAGCAATGGTTTGGTTCTTTTTGAACAGAAATAAAATAATAATATTAGTAATAATAATAATAATAATAATAATAATAATTGATATGACTGTTCCATCAGATAGAAACATCGCACTGAAGGAAACTGAAAAAAAAATGCAAGTACAAAGACCTAGAACTAGAAATACAGAGAATGTGGCATATGAAAACCATAGTGATCCCTGTGGTTGTTGGTGTGCTTGGTACAGTGAAGAAGGGTATGGTAGAAAACATCAAGAAAGTATCAGAAAGAGCTAATATGACAGAGATTCAAAAGATCTGCATGCTGCGATCTGCACGAATCCTCAGAAAGGTGCTCAGTGTATGAACAGAATGATTGCCTTGAGTGACTGACGCTCTAGGTGCATGGTTTGCACCCGGGCTGATGCACAAAAAGAACACCAGCAAAGACTTGATAATAGAGACAATAATAATAAATTAATAAAACAGATGTGACTGCTTATTGCGAAATACTCCCTGATTTCTGGCATATCATGAGTGCCTTTTTGTAGACCCTGGGGATGATGTTGACAAAGACTTGGGATAATGTGCTGCTCAACTCTCTTTTGTTGAATTACAGTAGAGTGGTTTACAAGGGCTTGAAATCACCAGACATCTAACTGTAAATTCGTATCAACAGGAGAAACCTACCTCAGGGCCCCTCTGTTGTGCTTGGGGTGGGGAGGGACGCCTTTGCTGAGCCTCAGGTGGAGATGGGCGTCTACCTGATGGAACAGTAGGCTGTGCAGTAGGCTGTGCAGGTTGAGGTATGTCTCCCATTGGTCCACCGCGACCATAAGGCGCCTCCCTAGATGGAGCAGGGGCACCTCTGCCATACATTGCTGCCATCTGTGCACCTACAAAAATAATACAGAGTAACAACTTACTCATACCCAAAAGCAAATATGCTGTGGTTCTCTTTGTCCTCGAGTCAAATTTTATTTTATTATTTTTGGGGTACGGTACTGTTAAGATAAAATTTGAAACTAGCGAATCACAACATATCTTTATCTATACGTTGTGTTTCACTTTTGTCCTTAGTCAAAATGTTATTCTCTTTAGTTTTAAATGTATTATTATACATTATTGAAACCAAAAACAAAAAGGAATAAATTTTAAACCAAGGTAAATTTGTGCCCCTATATATAAAGGCAGTTGTGAACAGTCACACAAATTTTTGGCTTTTGCCACTCTTACAAGGTAAAGAGCAAACTGCTACCACAAGACTATCATGCCCTGCATGACTCACCTGCCATCCAGGAGTTTCATTAAGGGCTGGGCACCGGGCAAACTGACTGACTGTGAACACAACTTTGCATGGCTGCTTACTTCTTAGAGAACTTTTTTTTTAACACAAGGAACGATCAAAAACAGTTTTAAGTAAATTATACAATTGTGCCCTTTTCTCGATGCATCTTCTCGAACATAAAACATACTTTACCGTCAAATTTTCACTTCATCACACCCAGCATAAAATCCGCTCATTTGTTACGTGCTAAAAACAAGAATCGTCCCATAATGTATTACAAAAAGAACTGTACTCCATAAAAGATCATCTGAAATGTCTCAATAAGATTGGGAACTACTTTGGGCGGTGGATATTGGTATCAAATCATGAATAAATTGTCTAGATTCTTTGCCCAGATGTCAAACCCAGTTGCCCTCCTGTTCAAAACCTTAATGAAACCCCTGGCCATCAGTTTGGTACCTTATTGGTACTTACATTCGCAGGCCTTTAATGTTCGCATTTTCTGTAATTGTAAAAATAATTGCAAAATTAAAGACCCACAAATTTGAATCCTCATGAAATTTAAACAAGAAAAATTGAATACCCTTGTAGAAAATTCACCATAAATTCAGTACCTGTGAAATTAAGTACCAATAAGGTAGAACAGAATCACATTTTGCAGCAGAGAGTCTAGAAGTGTTTTAGAGTTCAGTTTAAAAATTTTTTTGGACAGGTTAAAGAAATAGAGTAAAGTAGAAAGGATCCAGATATTTTTTACCTCTTCCATATGATGGAATCTGTTGAGGTGGAGGAGCTGCAGCAGATTGTTGGCCATAGTCTGGTCCTGGCCCTCCATATGTGGGTCCACCACGTCCATACATTTGACCACGGCCAGCTAAAAACAAAACATCAAAGATCTCATTTCACTGCTGTAAATATACTCTTCAAAGTTTTTGTAGCATTTCTAGGTGTTGGGTAAGGTAGAGTCACCATATGATTCAATGCAATAGATTGCAGTGTGGGTATTGTGTAGTGTTACAACAACCACCAACCAAGAAATACCCCTTTTTCCATATTCAACAACAGCATAGACCTTTCCCCCTGAACATCAAATTAGGCCAGAAATAAAATCAGGCGAAAATTTTTTCACCTGGATTGATTCTCAATTTTGTTTGTCTCCTAGCCCTAATTATTCATGAATTAGGGCTAGAAGACAAAGAAAATTGAGAATCAACCTAGGTTAAAAAATTTTTAACCTGAATGTAATTTTGACCTGTAACATACACATCACAACACAGTGCTGTGCTGTGGAATAAACACTACAATGTACCCTGTAATACTCAACATAAACATTTTGAGATTACTGTAACTTTCTATCTCACAATCAAAACCTGGAACTCACTGAAAGGCAGATGGCAGATCCATTTTTTTTACCCTTTTGATAGTTGGCTATAGGACGTTTTCTCACTCTCTTCTCAAAGAAATGAAGTCATCATCAAAACAAATGGCAAGTACTGAGGGATTAACAGCTTGGAACCAACGACTACTGCACTTAACATTACCAGTAACTCTTGAAGAAGTTCACTGCAAACTAAAGCAGTCCCTGAACAAAGGTGTAACATACCTGGCATTTGCTGATAATACTGCTGTTGTGGTTGGTATGACTGTGGTGGTCCTTGCTGCTGAGGATATGGCTGATAGGGCTGTGAACCTCTTGGCTGATATGGCATTTGTGGCCTTTGCTGATATTGCTGTTGTGGCTGTTGATAAGGACCCTGTTGTGGATACTGCTGTTGGTATGGTTGACGCTGACCATACTGCGTAGGTCCTTGTTGTGGAGGTCCTTGGTAAGACAGTTGCTGCTGTTGATAGGGTGGCTGTTGTTGATATTGCTGTTGATATGGTTGCCACTGACCATACTGTGTGGGTCCTGGTTGTGGAGGTCCCTGCTGGGTTGTTTGACCATTCTGAAAAAAAAAAGTTTCATTATGCAAATGACATTGTACTTCACAAAATATTAAAGCACATGTGAATTTCATTTTCCTTCATTGGTACAAAGAGAACTTGATGTGTCTTACACAAATGGATAAAATCCAGATTTTCAAGAGATTACAAACAGCGCTTCTTTCTACAGCTTATTCTTACTATCCTAAAAGAATCTTTCCCTATTAAGTTTTTCATTGTAGCATATAAAAATATTTTACTACATAATTTAATTTATACTAACATATGGGGCCTCCAAAGAGAAATAATAGTTTAACCCTTTAAGTCCCAATAGTGACAAAGATCAATTTTTTCTTAATAATATCCGTACACTGTCAAGAGATAAGTTATGAGAATTAATAAAATGATCAACCAAAAGAAAATGCCTTGATCTATTATCAAATTCTCTCAACTAATTCTTTAAGGAAATGTATGGAGATCAGTTTGGAGAATTTGTATATGGATACCAGGGCTTAAAGGGTTAACACGTATGATAATATCATACAGGTAGAACTAACATTTATTATTACACTAAAAACCACTATTGCTATTTACTTACTTTTCCATTTTGACCTGCTTGGCCTGGGGGTCTTGCTGGCTGCTCTAAAGCCTACCAAGGAAAATAATTCTAGTCAACGATTATATCATGGACTGCATGAAACTACCAACTCATGTTGAGTGCACACTTGGGAGTTAACACATTCTATTTCTTCCCATAAAGCATGCATACAATTCTTTGCAGCTGTCCTTTACAACATTACATATTAATCTTTGCCAAAGAAGTTATTATCAATATGGTTTTCTCAGTCTAAATCACAAAGGCTTAATCAGCTGTTAAATGCTGGCAAATTAGGTTGGGCTATGTTTTAGCCAATAAAATATTTTACGCTTTCCTTTACCATTTTAAAGCAACTAAATTTTAGTTATTTCAACCTTGGTAAATATAGAATAAATTGCTTACATTATTTCTTTTTTTGCATAAGAAGCTACCAGTGGAAATTGGACAGGGTGACTGTTACTTTGGTTAATTTATTTAATCTTATAATGAAACTAAAGAATGAGATTAATAAATAAAGATAGAGAACTAAAGCTGAGGAATAAGGCTGACTCTGCTTCTACCATTATTATATACACTTTGGGTGTTTTGGAACCTGATCAGACTTGTGGACACATATCCCAACATATGAGACTTACCATACCCAACTTGATCAACAGATAAAAAAAATTATTGTTGAACACAACAAAATACAATTTGGGTATTGAATGCAAAAGATTCTGCCTATAATTTTTAACTCAAGTAGCTTATTTAATACAAGCCCATATAAAGGGTTGGGGGCTTATTTAAGTGGGGGGGAAAAGTTCTCTCCATAAAGAACTAGAGTAGAATATAAAGTGGAAAAGCTCAAGTACAGTACAAGAAGTTTTAGGTCATGCAGCCAAGGTTCGGAATCAAATCCGAACTTCCACTTGGTAAATAAACCATCCCAGATCAGTCAACATGAAGATTTACAGTCATGATTGGTTAATACAGTCTATCATTCATTAGTGAAGAATAATTAGGGGAGGGAGAGGGCGTGTTAACTTTCTTTCCCATAAAAAAAGGGAGGGGGATTATTAGAGGGAAGGGGTTTATTTGAGAAGGGGGGTTTAATAGAGGATTTACCATATTAAATAAACACTGTCCAATGATTTACCAAACCATCTTGACAAGTTTTAGGCAAAAAAACAATCTTTGTGAAAAACAACAGTTTTTGTTTGAGAATATGAATGTTATTGTCATTTGTGAAGATATCAGTTTTGTTCTGAAAAAACCTAGTATTTAAATTTAAACCCTTTTTAAAACAACCATTCAGCTACTGGCCTACCATGGTGGTTAAGCAGGGCTTGGACAGTAAACAATTTCTGTGCATTCATACAACACAGACAAAACAAAGGTTAAAGAATGATCTTTTCCGGTTGGATAAACTTGAACTCAAAATAAAATCTTCAATAATGGCACAGAATAAAGATGCTTCTCAGAAACAACATGCAACAAGCTATTCATTTTAAAAAGAATAAAGGTTAATTAATCGAGATCTGACGTCCAAATGTGCAGCATCTCCTATCTTTGACGTCAGGAAACATAAAACCTGCTTTGCGCAAACACGAAATTTAGTCACGATTCCCGTCATCTTTCAGCTTCATAAATTAACTTGAACAGGGGCAAAATACGTAAAATTCGCTTTTACACCTTATTTTATTGTTCTCCGGGCAAAGAAGCTCGAACAAAACACAAAGAGACACCAAGTAACACAAGCGCGTGTTGCTCACTTCATGGATGATGAGACACAGTAAACAGCAAGTCGAGCCCGGATGGGCTAGTTTTGCTCCGTTAACACGTGCCAGAAATTTTGCTTTTATGAGGAACATTGACAGAGATAATTTAGAGAATAGTTAATGAGGTAGTAGCAAGGTACATTAACTGAAACGTTTTGTCCGATGCCTGTTTACAAAAGATATAACAAGCTAAGGGACAAATGACAATGTTAGAAGAGCTTCATTGTTTAGAAATTATTACTTCCTACCTGTAGAAGGGCAGCTCCTCGCCCTCCACGGCCAGCCATTCTGTACTAAATATACGTTAAAATCTTAAAATGTTCTAAAATCCTAAAATTACATTAAAATTAGGGGAAACTGTTGAAGAAATACACGGTTCACGTCCTTTCAAATACTAACACAGTCGAGAAGAACCAACAACTGGCGCCAACAGACCATAATAAGAGAACCACTTTGATCTAGCCAATCAAAATGAGATTCTTCATCCGCGAAATGCCGAATTGCCGTTCGGCTCAGTCGATAATTATTCGTTATAAGCCGAGAACGTTAGTATAAGACAATCGACGATAACCTGAAGGAAGGTTGTGAGAAAGCTGCGATGGCTGGTGCGCGCGACAGTCCCAAACTTGATATGGAGCACGGCTTCATACAAAACATTATAAAAAACCAAGTTGATCGAGACGAGTATGACAAGGAGCAGAAAGCTTTAAGTCTGCAGAAGAAGATAAGCGGGCAATCGCGACCAAAGAAGAGAGCGCCGTTACAGATGTATGTACCGCCTCATTTGAGGGCGAAAGCGGTCGACGTCAAAAACAAACAAGAAAGTGAATCTTCGTCTAAAGGTAAGAGACACGTTTTTTGTTGCATAAAAGAGCCTATGCGTGAGATCGATACTGATATGTACAGCTGTAGAACGCTCAGGCTAGTTGTGAGCACGGACTCCACGGAGCAGGACCGGAAAAATGCATGACAAGTTTTATAAGCTAATAGTATGGCGGGAAATATAGTGTTTCACCCGCTTCCTATCATCTTACTATGAACGCAAACGTTTGTTGAGTGCTCCTTGCTTATTGAAACTGTGGAATTTAGAATGATTTTGATACGTCGATGTTTGTGTCAATGGATGGGTCGGGAAACAATAGAAAGGGTAAGAATGTCAAGTCTCGAAAATGCCATAAAAAATAAACCCATTTCGAAGTCTCAGGAGACTAATGTAATGCTTGTTTCTCATTTGCTTAATATTTTGGTTTATTTCTCATAACAAGCTATGCTGAGCAGTTGCAAATTTGATGATTCACATCATTCATCACAAAAAATGGATTGGCCAATAACACATCACTGTTTCAAAGTGATATTCAAAGCGTGGTAAAAATAATATTTGAATGAGGCTGAGTATATATATGCATGATGTGAAGAATTATGCACCTATCAATGTAAACCCCGTGGGGGGGGGGAGGGAAGTGCAGGCAAGGGGTGGGGATTTGACAAATTTTAAAATTTTTTGATCAAATTCCCTAGGGTGGGAAACGAAAGGTCAATCAAAAGCGTCAAAATAGCCCCCACCCCAGGAGAAAAAATCTAAACAAACAATACTATAATACTACATAAAACGAACAAAAGAACATTTCAAAAGTACGTTCTTACTACTTTTATTTAAGTTTAACGTAAGCTCTGTTAAGTTACTCGCTGTAATTAATTATTTTCTCTCTCCACTAGCATCTCTTATTTTGAACAACAAAATCACTCTAGGAAGATTGACCGTGCTATTATAATGTTAATGAAATGTAAAATGCTTTATAACATCTGCTCAACATGTCGGAACAGGTCGGATCAGTGACCCGTAAAAAATCCTCTGACTTTCATGGTGGAATTCGATTTCAATCGAGTTTTACAATCAGATGGGAACTTGAAGAGAAAAACTCTCTCAAAATAGACATTATCTGTTTAGATGACAGTTTAAAGTATTGGATTATGGCGATTAAAACAAATGAAAACTTCATACCTTTCCCCAACAGCGTGACTTTCAGAAAGCCTTGAGGCACGGACTTGGTAACCGCTTCTGAATTGATACCAGGCTTCTGTCGGTCAAAGTCAAATGTTCCGACCCCAGGGTCGCTTCGTACGATCAAAAGCCCGACAAGGGGAATAGTCTCAGGCATCAAATCCCCTCCCCTTGCCTGCACTCCCCCCCACGGGATTTACATTGATAGGTGCATTATGCATTATTATAGTGTGCAATGGACAGCCAACAAGAAGAACAGGCTCAAATTACAATGACTGCAACCGCTTTATATCCAACAGGTTCAAGTGGAATAAGACATTCTTTAAAACAATATGGGGGAAAACATTTTGTATTAAACCCACTGACTCCAAGGAATTTTGCCAAAAAAGGCATTTTGAAGTTATTCGGCCCCTCCTCTGTTCACTGTCTGGCTACAGAGAGCTAAAACTTACCACAAAGCTGTTTGCAGGTTGTATACCTTGCAGCCTTCAGATGCAGATGCTAAATATTAGCTTGTGAAGTTCAAGCGTGAACAGAAAGCAAAAGTTTTGGGTGACACAATAGTTTTGGCCTGTACTTTTCCTTTTCTTATCAGTGATTTGGAAGTAGCTTATTATTATCAACCACATTGTAACACGAGTGCATGGTAAAAGTTCTCTCAACAGAAGACTGGGAAGATGATCTCAGAGTACCAAATACACCTGCATCCCCTGGAATTAGGATGACTCTGGAATTTGAACGCCAAGATGGCGAAATTCGCAAGCTCAACATTTGTGAGGTAGCTCATGCAAATTGCCTTTTTAAGTACTATGCATAATTAGTTCTGATCTTTCAGAGCTGTGCTCTAGCAATGCCCACTACGCCATGCAACGTTTTCTTTGAGCAACAAGAAAATTCAGGCTTTTGCCACAACATGTATGCTGAAACATTATTCAAATCCAAGGGAAATGGGACTAAAAAAGTCGTGTCAGCAGGGGTGTTTGAGCTCTCTGAGTTTGATTTACAGAGGTTCTACTGCACATATACCTTACTGGTACTTATTTTTGCGGGTCTTAAAATTTCCCTTTTTTTGCAATTCTAAAAAAATCATGAAAATTAAAGACTCGTGAATAAAAATTCTTGCAAAATTTAAACACGTGAAATTCAATACCCAGAAAGAAAATTCAAATCACAGAAAAGGGTGGTAAACGTGGAATAAGACAACATAAACAGGATATATATCGGCTAGTACACAAGGTCCATTTATAATGATATCCTCACCGACAGAAACCTTTTGAAAAATTTGTTGTTGATGTTTCTTGGATATTATTTTATTGTGACCTGCATAGGGTGTTTTTGGTAAAGCTATACACAATTTACTTAATGTTGTCTCTTTCAGGGAGAAGACCTTCGAAAAGTCATCAGCAGTTTTGGCAAGGCTAATGGTCTTGATGCCAGACTCCGAGATGCTCTGCTGCAAAGAATTTCAAATGCTTTAGAAGGAAGAGCATCATGATTCAGTCTGTAACTGAATCACATCTACAGAAAACAGAGTAACTTCAGCTTCTACTTGACAATTTTGCCAATTTGGAAATGAAAAAAAATACTTATGGTTGAAACTGGCACATAACTATTTATTTTAGTATAGATATAAGGAACAGCAGGCAACAATCAAGTGGAAAACTCAGTCGCTGGGTTCAGATTTTTCATTGTTTCTGTAACTTGCCATAACGAGGATTCAAAATCTCTCTAAAATATTATAGAAGCTTGAAAGCTCAGGAGGGCCAAAAAATATGTGGCATTTACTTGCAAATCTCTATTTTGGAGTAAATTGTAGCCTCTGTAATGTCCATCTTACCCTGGGTGCCAGACCGAAGAGGTCTCGACGGCCGACTAAGCTCCTCGTCAAATGCGAGAAAAAACCTCTGGTACCCAGGGTATGTTCATCTGTAATTCGTGAACAAAACAATTTATGCTCAGATTTCAATAACAACAACTGCCACATCAACAGAAACAGACATGCGGATGGTGTCTCTGCAATCCACACATCTCTTAGTGAATTTTCAAGTTTTTAAATACTCGCATCTTGTTTAATATTCACCTGTTTCACACAAAACTTGAGAATTTTCCAAACATTAATGTACATTTTATGACTATGTGGTCTTGTGTTATTTATTTCTTTAATATACAGACTCATACCCAATTACCCTCCTCTGTTTGAAATTAGACAATGGATTTTTTTTATTAGGATGACAAATAAAGATCTTAAACATACAGGGGAAGCTCTCCTAATGGACACTCTCATAAAAAAGCTGATAGCTCTACCTATGGCACCTTCACAAAACCTCTGTATTTTACATGATTCCCCAGTAGTTGTTAGCGGCCAGCTCCAGTTACAAACACCCTTTTCGCATTCCCAGAGTGTCCACTCACTGGAGCTTCCACTGCAGTTTGTTGATATTTCTTAAGCTAAAAGTAACCATTGTCTTCAATGTGTACATGTTTCATTTCAAGGCAAAGAAAGTTATTATTATATTATTTATTTACAAAAATGTTTATGTAAAGGATCTGGATTTTTCATGAGATGGTTTATAAAAATTTAAAAGTATAATAAGCAAGAAATTGTAATATTGATATTACGTACCTCAGATACAAGATTGTTAAAGAAAGTAAATTTAGTGTTAATTGTAGTTATTTTTCATATATTTTTGTAATAAAGCAGAATGTTGGTGAAGTGCTGTTAGTTGGTTTTTGCTTGACACTTAGGGGGCTGGTAACCGGATTAGATATAGTGCGTTAAAACAAGCTGCAGCAGTGCTGATCCAAAAAAGGGTTTTGCATTTTACTAGGTTTTAATCAAGTTTCAAAGCGTCATTTCAATACGAGCTCCAAGGGAGCTAAAAATCAGATGTATGTAGACTGCAAAACAGTCGGTTTTTTTCTCAAAATGAGTAAAGAAATCGGTAACGCGTGCCGTAAGAGTCTTAAGCGCGCTTCGCGCGCGAGGCTCACTCGCCCGTAGGGTTCCCCTTAGGGCGTGTCCCCAGGTCTCGCTCTCTGTTTTCAGCCTCGTTCCAGACCTTTTGTTTGATTTCACTCAAAGTACCAAACAAACATCTCTCCCTTGTTTAAAAAAAGCATTTTAGTTGTGACTGCCAAAAATATTACACTTCCTTCCTACAAAAGAGAAAACGACTGTATTTCCACTTAACGGCTATGTTCAAGAACATCACAAGTCACTGTCTAGTCAAATAATGACGTATAATTTAATACAAAAAGAGGGGTTTTCTTTGAGGCTGGACCGGACCTAAAGTCGTAAGATACGGCGATGTCACATGAAATAACTTCTTTTTTTGAAGTGTAACTTACACTTCAATAAATCGGATGATTTTGTATTGCTCTATCAAAGACAGAGTTAAGCCATATTTTGCTCGCTTTACTCATTCAGATCATCAGTGCTAAATGGTTTTGGTCCAGCGAATGCAGGAAATGGCTTTTCAGCGTCCTCATTTGGGACCTTAAGATCCGACGACAGCGACGGCAACAAAAAGGCAGTAGGCTTTTTCTCCGCAAAACAACTCCGCACGTGCAGCACACATTTTTTGTACATTTCTCTGTCGTCACTGCACGACTAAAAGACGTGAAAAAGACGTGAAAATGCCTAATTTCACGTTTTATGGCGAACGTAAACAAGCCACGACCAAATTTTCTTTCACTTTCCGAACATGAATATGGTTCTTAGGAATTCAACTCCAGGAGAGTTCGCCTACAATTGACAAAGTAAGCGCGTTAGAATAAACGCGGTGAAGGCTGGAAGAACGCGAATTCACTTTTTAAGCAACGCTTTCGCTGCCGACGCCGTCCGTCCTCGGATCTTTAGGTCCCTATAGTTAAAAACTTCCCTGCGAGCATGCCCCGGACACCTTAAATTGAGGAATAGACCACACTCCCTATGGATTTACTTGCGTGATAACCCACTCGGGATGTTGGGAGAACAAATTCACGAGCCGAAGACGAGTGCTTTACAAGCTTTTCGAGTGTCCTCCCAACATCACGCCGGTAAACCCATAGAAAGTGTGGTCTATTGCTTTTATAAAATAACTTTGAGTAGAAGTATGAGTTTACCGGCACAATAAACCATAGGTTTTTAACCAATCAGAACGCGCGCACTATCTTAGTTATTTTATAAACACTTACATAAAGGTTTTGTTACTACTTGTCTCGGGGGTACTCCCTATGATGACCTAAACGGGAAGGCTCCACTCGAACGAGTTTTCTTTCTCAGGCTTCAGGAAATTCACGAGTTGAAGAAAATGAGAGGGCAGGAAATCTATCATGTAGGTATTTAAAAGCTGGGCTTTTAATGAATATGATTCGAGGCTGTCATCTGTTTAATTTATTAAATGACAAGAGGACTTCCTGTTTAGCGATTTATTCTTACCAAACGTAGATGTATGTTACATTGATAACATTTTTTCTATGGAAGTTATACGAAACGGGTACCTTTTCTGTCAGGAGAAAGGGAGTTGGACCTCCAGGCCGAGTCTCCATGTATAAAACTTTGTTGAGTAGCCCCCCCCCCGGGCTACTTGTTTCACCTATGAACCTCTGAACCCTGGCCCCAGTTGTTCAAAAGTTGGATAGTGCTATCCACTGGATTCATCACCATTCAGTTGATAACGCAATTGGTTTCCTTAATACATATCCAAAAGACCTAGGTTGTTCCAACGTCGGAAAGCGCTATCTACAGGATAAATTACTATCCAACGGATAAGTATTAGGGAAACCAATTGCAGCATCAGTGATCCAGTGGATAGAGATTTATCCGGTGGATAGCGCTATCCACCAAGCCCGGGTTGTTCAAAAGTTGGATGGCGCTAAAATCACTATCCAGCGGATGTTAAATATTCAGGGTAAACCAGTTGTGCTATCCAGTGGATAGAGATTTCATCCATCCCATGGATAGCGTTATCCACCTTTTGAACAACAGGGGCCAGATAAATCACTATCCAGCGGATAAGTATTAGGGCAACAAATTGCAGCATCCAGTGGATAGAGATTTATGCGGTGGATAGCGCTATCCATCGTTTGAACAACTGGGGCGTTGGATAGAGTTTTTTTTAGCTTTGGAACAATCAGGGTCTCTACATTAAAATGTTCCCAAAAATACGGCAAACATTTCCAAGACTACAAAACAAATGATTAAATCACTTTATTGTCAAGTAAGACCCATTTGAAGTACATCTTATGGAAAGAGAAGCTGCAGTGATTTAACTACCTTTACATTATTACATTGGGCAGAGTCTGAAATAATCAGTAAATACTCTGCTCGCCTGGGATATAGATATGGATATTTTTGAAAACGCTGATTCTTCTCTTCGTTTTCAAAAAATACGCGTCCCAACGTACCGTATCAGAATCGTTTTCGCCCGTCTACACGAAAACGCTAAACCGATGGACATGCAATTGAATTCCTTACAGGACATGCGCTGTATTATGTATGACATCGAGAAGCCAGCGTTTTCAAAAATCTCCACCCGGGGGACCGTTTTTGAAAACGTGCATTTTGGTACCTAAAAACGCCGTTTCCTTGTGGACGGAAGGCTACAACGGATAAAAAACTCAGTTTTCAAAAATATCTGCATTCGTGTGAACGGGGCCCTGAAAAATACCCACAGCACAAAACAAACATGTATTGCTATCAACAAGAATTTTTCTCGCTTCTTAAGTCTTTATCATAAATACTAGATGAAACTAATACTGGCACAGTTTTTCCAGTGGATCGAGGAGAGAGAAGTGAAGGTTTGGGGCTGGAATTTTGTTTTATTAGCCGGGATGTGTGTGAATACACTGATAAAGTTCTCTGTACTGTTTAACATACAGGCTGAGTCAACTATGAATTTGCATCATGAATAGGGCAAACAATCTTCATTCTTCACTCCAATTCACGTGGCTGTTGTCTTTTGCGTGTTCGACTCTTTTTGTAGTTCGTATATCTGCAATAAAGAAAAGAAGAAAAGTTATCCTCGACTTGGCAACAAAGTTATCTCACCAGCCTTAAAAGAGTTTCTGAGATTATCGGATAACTCTTTTTAGCTTAGGAAGGAAAGTCTGGGTTACGAGTGATGGGAGATAGAACACTTTCCTTTTCTCCGCACTTTTTCACTTATGTGGGCACGATCCCTACAGAGTAATTGTGAAATATCATGAGACCAGGGGAGACGAACTTCCAAGATGGCAAGACCGCTAAATTTTGTTTTAAACTTTGTGTTGTGGTCAAGAAGGGTCAACAACTAACACTTTCATCTCCTCAAAGACTGCTTCAGTTATCTTACTTTGGATTTCAATGCGTCTCTGCCCCATTCTCCGCGTGGTTTCGCCACTCCTCTGCCTCAAAACGCGCACCGACGATCCCGCCGGCTTCGTAGACTATCCATCAATTCAAGTTTTTCTAAATTTTATTTGGAGGCGTATTTGCATATACTGGTGAGCTAAAGTTTGGCTTTGGCTCAACACAATTCCGTAAACGTTAAAGGGTCCTTACTTTACGTCGGTAGCGCAAAATAGTCATCAAATGACTAAAGATCCTGAGGCCGACAATGCATTTATTGTACTTTCCTCTCCCTCTCTTTCTCTCTCTTTTTATCAGCGCACCTAAATACAGGTTTCGAAAGTCCTTAAACAAGGATTAGAGATCACACTTAGGAATCGAACCCTGCACCTCGCGCAAAGAAGGTCGCGCATTAAACAACTGTGCCAATACTTGCTCCTATTGAAATGTGAAATCAACTACAATAACATGGAAAAACGTGACTTTTATTTTGTGCCTGCAGTATTAGCCTATACCCAGGGCTATCATTTCACGTTGCTGGGTAAATGCAAAAGTAGGCGGAGAATTGAAGAGCTAGGAGGTTGCCGACCGGAAGTTTTTTGAAATGAATATGTGCTGAGACGCAATCTGGTGCATTTTGAGACACAATTTTGAGAAATGTTACAGTGGTATTTTATTTTATAGTCGTGATCATGTTTCTTGTCATATAGTGTCCTTAGACAGGGAATACTTACTTCATGTGCACTGACTTCGTCGCGTCTGGATGATTTTCCTATATAGTTACTTGTATACTGTAATGATAACAATATATTTCGGAGGGAGGCTGGACATTTTTTTTTGGGGGGGGGGGGAGCTTCTACCCCTCAAATACCCTAGATAGAACCCTGCTTGCTGTTCCTACAGCTCTTAAAACTCAAATGACGAGATGAAGCAATATATTGACTAATAAACCGCAGAATATTCTTAGTATAATAATACCTGTATGTAGGAATCAGAAAGCGTTATCACTGGAGGAAGGATGTCTTTAACATGAAGATCTTGAAGTTCGTACCACTTGTTAGCTCCCTTAGATAAATGGTACCCAAAGACTACATCAGTACACGAGTGCATAACTAAAGCACTTTGCCAAGACATAAACAATAATAATATTCTGTACTCCTAATTACCGTGCATCACGGATTTTTTTTTTCGCGCGGGTTAAATTTTGCGGACAGGTGATCAGTTTTAGTATTTTGCAAGAACTAATTTTTGGGATTGTGGAAGACTGATTTTTCTGCTGAGGATTTAGTTTTTGAGATTTTAAGAGGAAGTAGGGACTACTCTTTGCGATTCTCTCTTCGTCCTTTCCCTAGCAACCGGCTATTGATTCTCAGGCTAATTGATGGTTCAGTTTTTGTTCAGGGTCTTTTCAATCTTTTATAGAACGATTTTCGTATTTCCTTGAAAAATGGTTTCGGTAGGTGTTCGTTATTTGTTTTATCAGCCAGTGAATGAAAAGATCAAAACATGACCTCTTCGTTTTCCCGCCAAAGAAAACCCTAATATGGAGAAGGCATTGTTCGATTGGCCAATCGTGTTGCAGTATGACGTCAAAGCGAAGTATCGGTTGATTTCTAGAAAGTTCTTGGGCATGAAGTTTTTTCACCCGCGTTCGCTTAACCAACCAAAAGCCACGCGCGTTTGTATCCGTTCGATAAACCAATCAAATCGCTCTATTTCCGTTCTACTTCGTTCGCGCGTTTTCATTTCCAGGTCATACAAAAATCGCTGAAATACGTCCTTTGGTGACCGCCCCGTCCGCGACACCAGGAAACAACCTTGACCTCCGTGTTTTAAAGTGATTCACATTTTCAAGATGTGTTTAGTTTTCTCATTATTTGGATCGTTATCATCTGGGAAGACCTACTTTGTGCAGAATGTGAACTTTGAAATTTCCAGCACCTGTGGAGAGCAAGATAATCAAAAATTAAGCATCAATAGCAGGATTGTCAATGCAAAAACATTCAACACCCAAAAAGGTGATTTTAACTAACACTGGGATTAAAAATGCTCTTTCAGTATTGTTCAATTAATCAGTAACTGGAGTGTCTTCCAAGTTTATACCTAGAAGAGAGTATTTGGAAAAAGAAAAGTTAAGGGATGTTTCCTCACAGTTGCTCCACTTTTTCACCAAAAAGAGAATTTTTTAGGTACCCAGGGGCCCGTTTCTCGAAAGTCCCGATAATCAGCGGGCCCGATAAGCTGTGTCCGTTTACATTAAAGATCGAGGTTTCGATAGTTTTGCATCTAACATGATAAAACAATCAGTTAATGAAACGAAATGGAGTATTTTGCTAGCCAGGACCCGCGCTCTTATTCTTTATATTTCGATTTGAATATTTGATTTCGGGCCCGAAAAGTTACCGGGACTTTCGAGAAACGGGCCCCTGATCTGCCCCACAGGACATGCAAGCATTTTGAACCCTGTTGAACACTTTCGATTAGCCGATCACTAGCGCTAATTGTTCCAGCACTAGGAACTCTGAAATCGTTTCGGGAGGAAAACGAAAACAATGATCGGTTAATGGATGTCTTTGGATACACACACACACACACACAAAAACACAAAACAGTCATGTTCTGCTGGTTGCCCAGGTCCGTTTTAAGAGTGAGCAACAACGAGGACGACGGTAGCGAAAATTAAAAAGTGAATTTACGCTGTTTCAAAATTCATCCTTATTCCATGTCGTTCAATTTGCCAAATGTTAGTGAATTTGTATGAAGTTGAATTTTAAAGGATTGTATCTAAGTTCTAAGAAAAGAATTAGAAAATTGTTGTCTTGTTATCTTGTGTTCACGGCCACCACAAAAGTGAAATTAGGCAGTTTCACGTCGTAGTCGGGCAGTGAGGGCAAAGAAAGGTACAGAAAAGTGTGATGCACGTGCAGAGGTTTTTGTTTTGTCAATCTAAACCAATTGCTTTTTTGCAGCTCTAGTCGCCGTCTTTGTCCTGGGTGGTTAAGCTCCCTAAATATGAAGACAGTTAACATAACCTTTTCCAGGTTCTCCTTCATGACAAATATTTGCTATCAGATCATACTGAGTGTGAGGATGGGCATCTTGTATTGCAGGATCTGAGACCAAATACTCTGCCATGTCCACCCCCCTGAAAATAAACCAATTGTGGTTAAAATACTGCTGAAACAATGGCCCATGTTCGATATGTTAAAATTCTAACATGACTCCGAGGCTTTAGGGTCAAAATTGCAAAATGACCAGAAAGCCTCGGAGTCATGTTAGAATTCTAATGGCATTGTTCCTGCCAGCAACGCGTGATGCACCCCTAAGAATGTCTGCGGGGGAGGCTAAGTGCTAGGGTGAAATGCCCGTAGCTTATTGAATTCAACAAAAACACAATCATCGCCGATAACAGTTCATCCTCTGAGTTCTAACAAAAATACAAATTACGAAGGCCCAAAGGTAAAAACAGAAAAATCCGATCTAATTTATCCTTACTTGTCTCCACTACCACCCTCCCCCCAAAAATACACCTTCAAGCAGATCTTCTATAGCTAGGTATTCCCTTGTTTCCTTGGAAAGGAAACAATACTGGACCTAAAGTTCAAGTCAAATTCCCAAACAATAATAAAATAAAGATGAAGTGAAATAACCAAACACCAAATTACAGTGAAACGAGCCAATAAAGTATGTATGTATGTATGTAATGTATGTATGTATGTAATTATTGACGAACTTCAGGAAATCCCAAACACGCAAAATGAACCTGTTTTTATTTCACAAGGTGCGGTAGGGCAAGCGGTGACGTTTACTGGCCCGCAACAAAAGTACAGGCCTACCAGCTCCCTTTCTAACATTAACTTTTTTAACTTCATCTCGGCAATTGTTGCTTGCCTGTCTTAAAATTTAAGTGTTAGCCCAACAAGTTGCTCCACCAGCTCCAGACCACTAGACAACACTTTTTAGCGGACAACTCTATCGAAATGACACTAACAAGGGTGTTGTGAGGGTGCCCTTATTACAGGTTTCCGCACTGTATCTGCCCCAATGTGGTTTGAGAATGTGTATGGGGACTTCCACTGTCCCTCTCTCCTCTTTGCACTTCTACTGGACAAATCTGCCGCACAATTCAAACTTGAAAACTTCCCATCACAAAATATATGCACAACACATCATTACTCTATAACACTTACTTGACAGGAAAATTTACTACTGTTGGATTCTTCTCCTTGAAGAACATATTTTTATTGAATCTCTATGCAAAAAAAACAAAAGAAAAAAAAGAAAGAAAAAAGAAAGTGAAGACACCTTACAAAAAGTAAAGTTCAAACCAACCATAGTAGGTCACAAGTCTAAATCATGCCAGGCACTCAAGTTTGTACCTCGTCTACTAAATATCATCACAATCTTTCTTTCTTTATTAAACTGAGCGGGAAACCTCTTAATCTATAACATTCTGTACTCCTACAGAAAAGTCTAATCTGTTTATTATTCAGAAGTTGTAGTAGCGGTTTGATACAAGTAACTAGTGGTTGGTATTCTGAGACTTGGTCTCAGCTATCACGATTTACAACGCTGCAACCCAACTAAAACTGCGCGCAGCGAAATTCACCAATTTGGGACCTGAATTTGGGGCTCGTGTTCTAAGCTGTAGTGCTTAAATATATTAGTTGTGTTACTCTGTGGTCTTTCTACAGCCATTTCAGAGTGAGACAGACATTTTTACGAAATAGTTGTTTTAAAAGCTTCATTTTCCGTATATCGCCCCTTTTACCCTGGTTGTCCAGCAATAAAGCCTCGAGATGTAGTCACGTGTACCTCTAAATAGACTCTTCCTCGGTTGTTTTACCCTTTGACTGGGACCACTATGCGAAAATCCGTCAACATGGCTGAAAAAACGCCTTCAAATCTCAGTAAAGTGCCAAGTTTGTTTGAACGCGATTTGCTGAAAACTAACGCCGAGTCGCCGATTTTACCGACGTTTGTATGGTGGGGTGCAAGTTTTTGCCCCCAACAATACAAACCTAGGTAAAATTTCGCGACTTTGTGGAACGATATCTTCGCTCGCTTTTAACGCATCACCCTTCTTAAACTTGGCAAGTTTCCTAATTTTAAGCCGCTCTTTCCAGCAATGTGAATGGATATTCGCTGACCAGCCTTTATCAAAACTTGTAAAAATACCTTGGAAGGGTCCACACATTGCTATGCAGTTTCCCAGACTCAGCTAATGATCCGTTATAGCTGGGCAACCAATTTTATGTCTAACGATCATTCTATAGCTTCAGGTTGCCAAAATGCGACTTTGAAAAAATTTGAGTTTTTGAGTACTTTTGTACTGGTTTACTTCTTATGATAAAAGAATTCTTTTCTTTTTGACATTGGTTAAGCTATCTGTCATCTGAAACAATATATTTGTAGTACTTAATGACACAGTATTTGGATCTGTTACAAGGTAATTAACCTACAGCTGTAGCTTACCTTCAGGCACATTATCAGATAGTTTGGTAGTTTAGTGAGCTCAAACTTCTTGACAAATGTTTCCTTGTATGTTTTGTATTCCTACAAAAAGAATAGATCTAATGATTAAAACAGTCATTTTCTTTTTTCTTATGATCTGTCCCAAGTTCACTAGACTTTCTGATGTCAGTGATTTACCTGCAAATACAGTATTAACACATGCACTGACCATAAATTAAAAAAATCAAAAGCCAAGTGCAGGATAAATAATTTTCAAATTACTTCGTCTTACAGCCAGCAAATGCAATTCATGTGTTATTGACAATAAAAATTACGCGGTCAAGATGGCTAAAGGTTATTTCGTGCATTTTCATGGACCAAGGTTAAGTCAAGGTCCATTGAAAAAGAAAAGAAAGAACTGGTCTACCGGCAATTTTCAGCCATCTTGACTGAACAGGCTGATCAAGATCACCTACCCTGCGAACAGAGGCGACATTTTTATTGCCTCCACTCACAAGGTTAAAATCACCAGACTTCTGAAGTCTTATTTACCTACAAATACAGTGTAAACACATGCACCGGCCATGGAATGAAAGGGAAATAATAATAAGCCAAGCACAGCATATTACATTTCAAATGCACTCCAGTTAGCCAATGAGTATCCAGAATTCACATAGCATGCTAAAACAACATTAAATGATGCATGATAACAAACCTTTTCTGTTTTGCCATCAAACTTGCTTAAGAGTTGAAACAATGGAACCTGGTATGAGGCAGAATATTCCAGTAAATTTAAAGTTTAATAAAAATTGCCTTGGACTTTTTCTTATAAATGAGACTAATATTATCCTAAAGTTACTACATACATTTGGAAATATTAAGAGCATGACAATTTTATCATTATTTGGAGATCATCAAGTAACAATGACGTCAATCAAAAATGATCCCTAACTTTAGATTTTCCAACAGTATATGTATTCAATATAGATTCTTCACTTCACTTGAGACCAGAGCAGTATTCGGGATGTGTTATGGGTGTGATTTTTTTACTGTGACTTTTAATAATTAAACAATTTGAAGTAAGTGAATAGTGTTGTGGTATCTACATTTCCAACAATACATACCTGTGGAATGATGTTCTGTTGATACTCATCCTAAACAACAAAAAATACAAGATATCAATAAAAATAATAAACTTCCCATGAACAGGAGACTTTTTTGTGTTTTAAACACCTTCTTTGTTTAAAAGGTCACGTCAAATTACTTGGAATAAATAAAATCCAACAACACAGAGAATATTGATCACAGCTTCAACAGTTTACATATGGAATTTGAAAATTATCAATTGTTGACTCACTACTGCTTCTAATATTTCATTATTGCAGGTGGCAAGAGGAGCCTGCAATCCTAATCTCCAGGTAGTTATTGCGCATGCATCTCATGTATGTAGCCAGCATTCGTTTCTACTAAGAATGAATGGAATGCACAGAACGTAATTTGATCACACATGTTTGGACCATCTGTCACTTGTCATCTGATCAAGCATGTTTTGACCATCTGTCACTTGAAACTTATGCAAAGCAAAGTGTTGGAGCAAAATCGTTTTGACCTTCGATCGTTGTCGCCCGCACTCCATAACCTTTGGTTATCACTAGTTTTTACGATTTAAATAAATAAGCATGCTTTCAATTGGAGAGCTGTATCTGGTTCAGCTTAATTCCCATTGGGTGTCAGTGCAACATATTTATTAAATAAACAGCAACAAACATGACTTGTTAAAATACTCGGCACATACCTTGTACAAAGGTGATGGCGGAATGTCTAACATCAGATACATGTATGGAGAATTAGATGTTGTCTCTAATGAAGAAAAGTCACAGCAACAGTAACAGTGACATTTGTCATAATTTATTGTAGATAAAATTTCTTCCTCTGAAGCTTCAAAACGGAACTTCTAACAAGGTCACACCATGAAATCAAGTGACATATTGTACGTGATATCTGGGGCAAATGTAGTCAGTGTCTCGGTAACAGTTAAGATTCATTGAACATCCTTTACAGTCTGCTTACCTCTCCTTACTTTTTTCCAGAAATGGCTTAAGTCAAGATTCAACAAAAAATCCAGAATGTTATTTTCAAAAACAGACTCAAAAGATAGAGCTACACTTCAAGACTCCATCAACTCCTTCTAATTTAAATTCATTCTTGAATTGGGCAGAAGTAGTTTCAGGTTATAAATCTTTACTGAACAATAAATAGCACCAAACCAAAAAGTACTGCCAAAGTGGTCCATTTCAGTTGTCTTTATCCAATAAATTACACTGTACTTTTAGAGTTAATATCATTGTAAGCTTTTTATACAGAAAGAAAAAGACAAATAATATTGTTGAGAATTCCTACAGAGACATGCTGCAGGGTATGCTAAGTGTAAATGCAATTTGAGAGAATAACTTGATAAGAACCTACTGAAAATTTACTCACTTTCCATCACAATGTTAACTTCATCCACATAATTATACAAGAAACTCAAAGGAATAAATTTGGCAGAGCAAAACAGGACAAGTAATGTGAAAATAAAGCGTGGGATTAGGAATGAAAACAAAACAATACCACTATTTGGGTGAAGTTTTGATTTTTTGAAATGTTATTTCATTGTTATTATCTCCTCATTTTTTTATTCTTTGTCTGATGATCTTCTGGTGATCGGTAAAAGTGATCCTTAGTAAGGGAGACAAAGATTACATCGGCTGGAAAAATAGCTCTTTGGATTTAACTTACCTTTGTATTCCTCCTCATCAACAACCTTCTTAATTTCTTCCTCATTCTAAAGTAAAAAGGAGAAGCTAAATCAATAATATTACCATATATATATATATATTCGCATAAGCACCCGGGCGCTTAATTAAAATTACTGCTAAAAGGCTGGGTGCTTATTGGAAGGAGGGTCCTCAATTGAGGGGTGCTTTTTTTAAGTTTTTCTTTCAATGAAGTGTAACTTTGTTTCGGCTAAATCCTTCATAGAAACATAAACTTAATATTGGGCGTTTTTATACTGGAGACATTAAAGTCGACAAGACGTATTTGGCATCTGAGACGTTAAAGTCGACTGGCGTAAAAAAGTGATGCATAAAAGTAGATGATAACAAGGAAAAAGATAGAGTTTTCTGAAAAAAAGACAACAACAACACTGACTCTTCCCGGTCATCTCTGGAAGATTTGGACATAAATGAATCCCAATTTATGGGGTCCCGTTTTTACACTAGATGCCTTTAACGTCTGATAATAAGTGCATCTGAATGATGTACTTAACAGAAGACAACGTTAAAGTCATCAGACATTTAATAAATCTGTCTTATTTAAAGCCGCTTAAGCCGACTTTCATGTCTCTAGCATGAAAAGGGCCATTGATAGTTTTATATTTGTTAAAACAGTAGTTGTAATCAAGCGTACCACTGTCAGATTAAACACTCTTAAGTGTTAAAACACAGAGACGCATCGGTATGCAGGTGTTCATAATATTGATTATCTCATCATCGTCAAGTTCATCCTCGTCAGTGACATGCAGATCTTCGCATTTCTTATGTTTCCCTACTAGTAATTTTTAAGAAAGTGATAGGGAGGGTGCTTATTTGAGGAGGGCACTTGTTTGATATTAATAGCCTAGGAGATGGGCGCTTATTTGGGGGAGGGTGCTTATTAGAGGATGGCCGTTTATTCAAGGAAATGCAATATTTAACTCAAATATATGACTAGATGTGTGTTGCTCTATGTGGAGGTATACATGAAGGTTAAGACCACCACATGTCTAGTAGTTCATGTTTTTTGTTTCATAACAATAGTCATACATTACCCTGCACAACAATTTTACACAGAGAGACATACCTCTGTTTGAGGAAGCTTTCGAGAGGTCACTCTCATCTTTCCTTGAAATGTCTTGTAAATCACACCTAAGATTAAAATCAAAACACTGTTAGTGTAAATAGAATGAAAACTAAAAATTTCGCACCAAAACGTTTCATTGATTGTTACCTGAAAAGATTTTTGAAAACTGTGACATGAGATTTACCTCTAATCTTTATTCTTATTACCTTATTACAGGAAATTAACGCTCCATGAAATTAAGGTATTGGAAATTAACGTGACTTAAATTAACACGAATTTAATGGAAAACGATTCTTGAATAAAGAAAATGAACGCGAAAGAGGAGGTATAATTTCATAATAAAATAAATTAACGCGATTAAGACACAGTTGGTGGCGGAAATCAAAGGAGAAGATATTGGCATCACCTCTGATAGCGACAACGATGAAGATGAACTTGAAATATTGTAAACCTTCGCCTTAGCTTTTGTGAAAGATGAAAAATAAAGGGTAAATGGAAAGAAAGAAAGCTTGTAGTTAATGTTTTTTAGGTGTCATGAATGTCTGGACAGGTTCCAAAATTGGGGTTAAAATACTGGAAATTAAGACGGAAATTAACGCTGCACTTAATTAACATTGTTACCTCAAAAAATTTTTGAAACTTAAATTGTTGCATGAAATTTTAACGATTCGTGTTAATTTCATGGAGCATTAATTTCCTATAATAAGGTACATCACAAGTATCTGAAAGTGCTATGGTACAATGCACTTTACAAAAATAGGAATTCAGGGCTTAAAATAACGGCCGGTCAATGGACAATGTCCAGCCAAGATGTCACCATTTTATCTGGACAGACTTTTAGTTGGCCGGTCATTTAACCAGTCAAGTGCATGGCTTTCAAATGAATAACTGGAAAAATATATTTGGTCACATTAATACTGTAAATTACAAAAACGGTTAAATCATAAAATATTTTAGCTGCTTACAGTACTGTTATAAATTCGGAGAATACAGATGAAACATTCTTGTTCTGAGGCTTTTTGAATGCCAATTAGCTGTTTGCTATTTTTCAACATTTTGCGCTCAGAAATGAGCCACGACTGACCCAACACTTTTTTGGCAGGACAACATCACAGGCCACTGTCCAAAAATTATTTTGAGCCCTGAGACTTAGATTGATTGAGCATTTTTGATACACAGACATGTATGCTAACTAACAATGTTGGTGTAGAAAAATAAAGACTAACTGCTTGTGGCTTTCTTTGTTCCTCCAAGGGTTGTGTGAAGAGAATTTAAAAACCATGATAAAAATTCCACAGGATCACCTAACAAAACAAAATGAATGGCAACATGGCATACAGGTACACTCTTTAACTGAAAAAATGAATTTGAAAGTACATAGTCTATTTAACAAAGAATGAGTGTATGATCAAGTTTAAAACACAAGGTAACTAGTCGAGTAGTTAGGACTTATTAAAACACAATCTGCAAGTTTTAATATTACACAGTTTCTGAAACTTCTGTTGTGTTGATCTTAAGCTTAGGAGACGTGATGAACATGTAGCTTGTGAGCAATACCATATGAAAGTGGTTTAAATGAATATTCTATCACCTTCTCTTTTGTGCCAGTTATAAGGAGTATGGTTTTAAGAATGTCTATAGAGAGGAGAGGTATTTTTGAGAAAATAGTTAAGTCATTACCTTGTTCAGTGAACTGGAACCTTTTTTTACTACACAGAACAACTGCCTAAAAAAAAATTTAGAGTCAAATATAACTAGGAGAACAGGGCTCGAACTTGGCGGTGGTCTACTAGCCAAATACCAGTAGATTTTGATTTTTGGCTAGTGGATTTAGCTCATTTACTAGCCATCTTGGCTAGTTAATTTTCGCACCTGTAAACAACATAAGCCTTGAAATGTTTTCAACATTTTCCCAGTTCATCCGCACCTTCTAGTAACCTCTTATTTCATTCCCCCATTAACAACTGGCATGAATAAAAGAAAGAATAATATTTGTTAATTCGGTTTTCAGTTTCGCGTTTATTCGCTGCCATCTTGAAATTTTGTTTGACCAGGGAGCATGGGCCAGGCCGTACCCATGATGCAAAGCTAGCCAAAAAACAAATGTACACCATCTTGAAATGCAAATCTACAATCACAGTCCACGCATGATTGTCATGGATATTAGGGCATTTCTGTTGTCAAATAAAACAACTAAAGGTCTAAAGAGAGCAAGCGATGATTCTGCTGGAGGCAGCACGTCTACATGTAAATCTGCATCAAAACGAAAATTTGTACGGACCTGGCTGAAAGACTTTCCATGGCTCACAAACGATGTTGAAGCAAACCAAATGTTCTGCAAATTGTGTAGAGACAATACAACTTGTGCAGGTGCTGGTTGCTGGACTTTAAACTGCAGACCAGCGCAAGTGCTGTTGGGTTCTTGTTTGTTGAGTTCAGTAAAATTTATTATTATATGGTAACTAAACATACAAGACAAGATGCATTTAAATTTTTCTTATGTTGCAGTTTTTATTAACGTTTGATAACCACAGGATTTTCGACATTTTTTTTAATCTTATGCTGTACAGAAGTGCCTAGACTACTAGAAACACGTTTATGGCTAGTAAAGCCCGAGCATGTACTAGCCATTTGACTATTAAGTTCAAAAGTTAAGTTCGAGCCCTGGAGAACAAAAGAAGATAATGATACTCTTTATAACCATGTCAGATATCTCCAACATAGAGCTCAACTCAACTTACCCCAGTATTCAAGGCCCTTAATTGTGAAGACTGGCCACTGCACCTCCAAGTTGAGGTACGAGCTCCCAAACAGAATTTAAGATCTTTGAATGGACTTAATCTTATTGTTCTAAAACACTCAGGCACCTTCCAAGACAGAGCCGCGTGATGTTTCAACATTGTAACCTCCCCAAGACCATCAAAACTTGCACAGAAAGTGCCACCCTTTGCACAAGAAAAACAGAGGAAATCTTTGCAAGTGCCCCTGGGCCCCAGTGGGTACTTTAGAGTCATACCTAGAGTTTTACTGCCTATTGACACCCTAATAATATAATGTGCAACACAGCAGGAGGGCCAGAACTGGATTTTGAAGCTAAACTGCTATTCCAGCACTTAAAGGAATAAGTTTGGTGAAAGGTAAACATACCTGCAACATTTCATGAGGGCTGACATGGGCTTTGAAGTTACGAGGATTCCATATCTTTCTTATCAACTCACCAAACCTGTTGACTGTGGTTAAAAAGACAACCAAACAAATAAAACAGGGACTTTTAAAATTCCTTGCCTTTTTATGAAGACTGTAGACAATGCATGTAGTAGCAACAATATCACATAGTTTATTGAATGTAATTCTTTAATGCAACCGAGAGGTGTGATTGAAATAAATCAAAAATTAATATAAGCGTGGACATTTCAATCAAACAACTACAGCCCCTAAGCCCACCCCCACCACAGCGTCACAAATTGTCAAAATATCCCACTTGTACAAAATGTTAACTGCTGACCAAAGACAAGCAAGCATCCATGCACACCTCTAAAAACCAAAACAAAGATAAAAATTCTATTACTGTACCTAAAGGGAACATTATGTCTCCGGGAGGACGCTTGATGTTTTGGTAATTTTCTTCTCTAAGAAAAAAATCCCTGACTGGGGGAATAAATGCCAATGCCTGTGGAAAACAATTACAAAAAAAAAATCATTTGGATTCTCAACTCTGTAAATTTCATGTACTTTGGTGACAGTTGTAAGAAATGTATGAAAAACACAAATTAACGCTGTAAATAATGTCATCAAAGTTTGAGTATCCAAAATCCTTTGGACATGATTGACCAGACAACTATTTTGGTATTGGCACTTGATCATGCGATATGCAAAATGTCATGATCCTGATATAAATTGTAACTTTCAAACAGAAACAAACAGCACCTTCACCATAAAAAAGTTACTGGATATGCTAAAGTAAATTTAATAGGAAAGTTGACTTGTCAACCACTGAAAGAAAGTAGTTAGTACTTACTATAATATACAGAGGAATCCCTGTTTTCAAACCCCTAAGTAGTTTGACTCGGGAAGAAGAGCCATTTATACTTCAAATCATCAAAAGAAACGAAAGACCAAGACCTCAAGAAATTGTGTGTGTGGTGGGGGCAGGGGGGTGGGGGCAGGGGGGGGCAGGGTTAAGGGGGGGGGCATTGCAGGCATTGCATCCATTTTATTTTGTAACTCTCTAAGCCTTGATAATAACATTGTACATGTATTATTATGTTGTAGTTCAATCTAATCCCCACTTTAAATTATATTTATACTTTCCTCTCTTTCAAAATCATTACCATTCATTCTCATACCCCAAAACAAAGTAGAGAATAAAATTTAACCACAACATGTACCAGTATTCTCCACGTTGTTCTCCACGCCAATATACACTGCTTATGGTACTGTTCAGGTTCTCTAACTTTTGTTTAAACTTTATGACATTTCATGTTTTGGTGATCAATTTTTTTCATTCTCTGACCTTCATGTTACATTATTTTGATTACCAGTAAGTAAAGTTAGTATAAATAGGAAGAGGTTCTGATCAGTTCTAGGGCTTATTTATTGCTTGCATTGATAAAATGAAATATGAATTATAAAATGTTACCTGTAGAACTACATTCAGATAATCATTTGCTTTGATGTTATTAAGCCCAACAATACCTAAAATGGAAAATAATTTTCATGTAAGACTGTGTGGATTCATTTCAACCACTAATATCGTTACATATGGCTGGAAGGTTGCTATACCCACTAGAAGAAAAAAAGTTTTGTGAAGCATTTGAAATATCAAACTCAATCAGCTAAGGAAGCCTTTTTCTGGATGAAAATGTCATCACAATCTTACTGAAACCTGCTACAAGCAGTTGCATTAATACTTGAGACCTGATAGGAATGAACAGCATCTCCATGATCTTGTGCTCACAATCTCCCGTTCCCTTCCCCCACCCCCAGTCAAAAATGTTAACAATACCAGACCATGCTCAAACCGTGGAGGAGCGGGAGCAACTTTGAATGCATGGGAGGAAATGAGTGGGGGTGGGGGAGGGAAGGTATGTTATATCACAGAGATGTGTGACTAGCAGCAAAACCACCAGGCTTATAACAGAGGCCACCTTGAATAAATTTTGTTTTTTTTTTTCCCTAAGATAATTTTGGATATTGTTGTGTTGTAGAGAATATGTTTAGCCTAAGACATTTACCTGTAATATTATGTTGTAAGCTAATTTTATTTTCCTTGTTTTCTTAATTAATTTATTGTAAATTAACTCTGAAAAGCCCTTGGGAAGAGTTATAAAACTAGTCTGTACTCTACTGTATTCATTAAAAAAGGTCAGTTTCTCTTTGGAGTGTCTCAGCTTTTTTTGCAACTGGTTGTAGCAACCTCAAAAAAAATTCTTTTTCTCCTGCACTTTTCAATGACTGCACCAGACAACCATTTGCGAACAGAAGTAATATATTCTGAAATGTTAATAACCAAAAAAATATCTTTTAGACAGATACTGATGAAAATAATACCAGGCAAATAGGTCGTTCCATCAAATGCTCTTGAAAGCTTTGCTGATCTGTCCAACTGGGTTATATCATCCTTAGTAAAAGTGGGATTCAAGACATACTGAAAAAAAAAAACAAATGTACAAAATAATCTCCTCAACTATTTCCATATCTCTTCAACCATATGGAGTGAGGAACATGGCCCCGCCCTAAGAGGAGCTAAGTTCTTTGAAACATTGATATCATTCCCTCATTTTAAGACCTACTTTATGCAAATCGGCCGTTGTTATCTTTAGACAACAATTTTCATTTTCTTGATCTGATTGGATCACAACTTGCGCAGTTTTTAAAACTACTTATATAATTTTAGTAAACCTTCAAGTGGTTGTAGGCGGTAAGAAGTGTTGCTTCAAGCGGTAAATTGGGATTTCCATCTTACAAGAAGTGTAATGGTCTGAAGTGTGGTTCACTGATTTGTCATTATTACAAAACACATGAATTGCGAGATTATATTATGATCTTTTTCCTTGAATTATGTCAAATTCATCCTCTCATATGCCCACACAAAGTGAAAAATTAAAGTTCCCTCATAATAAAGACTACTACTAATAGTATATTATTTACCTTTATGTCATCCAAAGATGAGTCAATAACTTCATAATTATCTGGTAAGCAGTAGAACTAAAAAGAAATATAACTTAGTTAATTACAAATAGAGTTCCAATCCTGGGGGTACCAGCTCGCCACATCACAGATCAAGCAGGGCTCAACATAGATAAAAATTACAGTATACCATTTTTTTTATTATTATTATTATTATTGGCAGGTCATACAAATTTTGACCTGCTGTTTACTTCTTTTCGCCTGTTGATTGTCTTTTCTTAGCCTGCCTCCTACTGACATTTTTTATGATTTACTGATGAAATGTTTTGATATTCAGTAGCAAATACTTTTTTATTTCTTTTCACAAAAACAAAACATAATAACATCAGCTTTTTCAAAGCAAATTTCTGGGTATGCAGGGCTGTGCTTGCAGCGTCCTGTGGCCTGGCAATTAACTTTTGCTCTTGGGTGACAACGAATCTTAGTTTTTAAACAAACCTCAATATGCTGGGAACCCTGAATTTACAGTTTCAGTGCTTTTGGCAACCTACAAAATCATTTTTCTTAGAGCACAGCCCTGATACAGAAGTAAGTAAGATGATGTAATAGTTTGCAGGTAAAAAAATTTCATCACTCTGTCAGGTATGCAGAAATGGCACAGAGACAGTGGTTACCAAAGCCACATAAATTTGTACACTTTACTAGTCCAATTGCAATGCCACAGATGATTAGGACACTCACTTCATCAAACTATTTTTGCATACCTTTAACGTATGGAGATTTAAAAACACGTGATGATCGACTTGTACACTGTGAGTATATGCATGAGAATGCCGACCACGACCTGAAAATAACAAAAAAATCAGACTGATAAATAATCACAATCAAGATCCATGACATACACTGTACTTATATCAACAGTATACAACTGTAGCTTTGTGGATGCAGTATCGTTCAGCACTCCTTTAACTATTAAAAAAAATCTGCTCTGGGTCAAGTTATGATAGTTTTCTTGGTCTTGGTAGAAAGCTAATTCTGACCAATACATTTAAATTTAGAAATAAGTGTCAGAGCAAGTCTAAGCAACTGAAGGCTTAAGATCATTCAGTTAATTTATTAAAGCATTCAGTTCATCATACAAGGTACATAATCAAAGCAAAATAGGTCATTCACAACAGACTAATACCCACCATAGCACTGGCAGGTGCCAGGTCTTATTTGAATCCCTCATCTGGTCAAAAATGTATTAAGGATATAAAGCATTCATCTTATTCAATGTTTCAAAATTTCTTTTAACAAGAACCATCTTTTTGTCTGTAGGTGGTAAGACTGATAACTTTCATCTCAAAAAATGGTCAATTATAAAACAGTAAGTTATAATGGACTCACCTTGAAAGTACTTTCCACATACCAAGCAGGCATAAACATTTATATGAGATAAAGAAACAGAACAGAGTTTCTCAAAATCAAAGTCTAGCACATGCCTATAAAGAAAAAAAAGGTATTTCTATATTTTACGTTATGACCAGGTTGTTTTGGCTAAAGAGTTTTGTATTTGTATTTGTATTTTATTTGCCACACATAACATGATTACAATTACAAAAAGATACAAACAACGTAGGAAGAAATAGCGAGGATGCCTAAACAAGACTATGAAGCTTAATGTTAATTAGGCTTCCTCTATTACAATAATTTTTCAAAGATCTCATAGAAATTATAGTCAAGGATGTTTTTTTGAAAAAACGTGCTTTAAAGAAGATATATGTTGCAGGTCAAATTTAATTTCAGGTTAATTTTGATTTAACCTGCCCTAGAAGACAAGAAAAATTGAGAATCAACCTAGGTTAAAAACTTTTAAGCTGAAATCAAATTTGACCTGTAACATATACATCAACCAAAAGCAGATTGCAATATGTTTGGGATGTTTTGGTAGAAAAAATTACAGCAAGCCTAAATCAAGTCTAAAAATTCAAACTAAGCCAATACACATCCTTAAACTTGACAAAACATTGCTGTTCCTGTTTAAAAACATTATGTAATTGATCGACCAATCTCCGTCATAAGCTAATAAGAATTCAAATACCTCTGTCAGCGTGGTTTTGTACTGAACCTTACAACTAATATTGTTGTTATTGATATTCAGACCATAATGTTTGGTGAAACTGTCAAACGCTTTTCACAAAAATCTGTCAGTTAACTGTTAACCAGTCCAATTCACCAACAGTTTATAGACAGTTATAATAAACATTTCCTACCTGTCTATGGTATCAAGGTAAGGACAATGTCTGCTCTGATAAGCACTGTGTTCTAAGAGAAAAACGAAACATTTCAACTTGAGTTGTTAATGTTTAAAACGTGGCTAAAAACAGAGGAAAGTAAACCCTGCATCACAGAGCTATGAATCATAATGAATGGCACTGAGTGCCATAGAAAAAAAGATGATACTGATAATGATACTGCCTTATACCTCCAAAGCTCGTAAAGCTACTGTAAAATGCAGAACGAAAACGTCCAACTTGTTTTGCAACATTGCTGCCAAACAAGTTGAAAAGCGATGCTGCACATTTCGTCACTCCACGTTTAAACCTGTCTTGCAACAAATCAGGTTGTTCCACGTTTAAACCTGTCTTGCAACAAATCAGGTTGTTGCAAGTTGCCTGAATACTGACTTGTGATTGGATAAAATTACAGGGGAGTCATGTCGTACTTGAGAGTTACCTCAAGTGCTTACTAAAAAACAAGTTCGCCTTGGGTCAGTAAAAAATTAATGCACAACATGTAAAGATTTTGTACAACAACTTTTTGCAACCTGCATCAACCTGATTTGTTGCAAGACAGGTTGATTCCTGGGTGGTAAAACATGCAACACCGCTATTCAACTCGTTTTGTAGCGATGTTGCAAAACAAGTTGCATGTTTTTGTTGCCCATTGGGTTATTCTAGAAAATATCCATACAATACCATGGATGGCTCAAGGGAATTCCGAGGGCAAGGCAGGGAATACGATTGGAACTCCCAAGGCATGGTGGGGGGGATAGATATGGAATTTCCACCAGGGACAGACACGAGTTATTCCTTGAAAACGCTTTTGAAAAGGCAAATATCCAAACAGGAAGAAGGCTAACGATCATGGAATTTTGAGGGCATGGGGCGATGATGCATTTAAGAAATCCAAGGGCAGGGGGAGGTGGGGGGTTAAAATATAGAAGCCGTCCATGGTATAGTAGGGATATTTTCTAGAATTGCCCATTCTACATTACATTAAGCTCCTACGCTTTACAGCTTGCCATTTAGGCAACCTGCAGCATTAGTCAAGAGTCATTTTAAGGAGCCCCAAAAACTTTTTGATGAGCAGGACTTATTACAGTTCTTCAATTTTAATTCCCCAAAAAACTTCACTTGCTTGTCAGGCAAGTTAAGAACCGTCGTATTTACTAGCCGGATAGCAAACTCCACTAGCCCTGGGCTATTGGACGGTCGAACACAACTCTCCTTGCTGCAACCTACTCCTTCGATCCTAAAAGCTTTCCTAAAATGTTTCCCACCAAAATAAAGCCTAGTTAAGAACCAGAAAAAGGAAAAACGGGGCAACAAGGCTGTCACTAAAATTTCAAGTTGCGCTGTTTATCTGCCAACATAATAAGAGGTGAGGATTTTAACATCTAGGCGTTCTTTGGTTATTTTGTGTCCTGCGAAAGTAACTAGAGGTCATACTCGCAATAAAAAATGATAGTAATAAATAATATGACAATCTACGAGCCTTTTTGTATCACACCTCAACAATTAACTACTGCACTGCGCCGACAAAACACGAGGTAGAGCTTCCAAGCACCAAAATTGGGCCTAAGAGAACACATTTTTCACAAATCTGAACTCATATTCTTCATTTTCAAATCTAATTCTCACCTTCTTTCCTCCTGGCTTCTTCCTCCTCCTCATCGTCGCTGTAATTTTCAACAAGAGGTCTTTTTACTCCTCGAATTTCTACTTCGTCCTCGTCCGCCATTTTGGTGCAGTGGGACCCAGGGTCCACGCATCGCACTGTCAAGGGTGGAGCCGTTCTACGCGCAGCAACGCGCAGTAAAAAACAAGAAAATGAAAAGCCTGAAATGTGTTTGATGTTTTTTTTGATGCGGTGACATTACACCAGAACATTTCGATGTGTGGTAGTTATCTTGGTTTTTTTCCAAAGAGGATTAAGCCTATGATTTCTTGACAACCTTTATTTTTTATTATTTTCGTTTTCTTGTTTTTGCTCAAAATAGGCCTTCATTACTGAAGTACTGATGCAATCCCTGCCATCCCAGCTGGAAACAAAAAGCTAAATAGTGCCAAAAATACAGAATGACCATTTTAAATAGTAACAAGAACAAAAATGACAATTTCCTGGATCCAAATCAAGAAATATTTATTTTTCTGAGAATTCTTTTAAAATGATACGAAATTTCACAAAAAAAGACGTGGCCGCCCGGTCCCCTCGGTCAACCCCTAAGGCTCTAAATCTTGAAAACTTGATATGGAATCGAAGAAAGTAGACCGTTTGTCTTCCACTAAAACTACAATTAGACTTTCGATTAGACTACTTATTCTCGTTTCTAAACTAAAGAGTCAAAATTAATAGTCAACTCAGCGCAACGCGCCTAGAGCTCATGAACTATTGTTGACTCATAGAAAATGTGAACTTGCAATTTGTAGTCTAAGTAGTAAATAGACAATGACAAATTGTCGTTTTATTTTGTCAAATGGACTGACATTCAAAACAATACTTCTTAGTGTAAGTGTTCTTCTGTCGTTGTCCAGCAACAGAACGCAAAAACACAGTGGTTTATAACCTTCCATACGAATTCATGCCCAGGGAGTAATCCCTATGCTAACACGGAGGCGCTCCGCCCGAAAGGCGTACCCGTGATTTCAGGAGTTGAAAGGTATATTATATCCGTTCAAGCATAAAACGTTAATTACTGCAAGAAACTTCATAGGATAATAAATCATATATTGAAGGTCAAAAACAAAGATCTCTTCAGCAGCCGGTACTACTCGCTGGCCACCCGGCCTATGTGTTTCGGGTCACGTGGTACGAGCGAGTGTTTTTTTTGTCTCCGATACATCATTGAGAAGGCCTGGTAAAGAGACGAACAGGGATGAGGCAACTGTTGTTGTCTGAATAGAGCTTCTAGTTTTGATTGGTGCACAAAATATGACTAGCTTTCATCTAGAACAAACAATAAATAAACGAATATACATCTTAGGGGAAAAAAAAGTGCCGCGCGCGCCCCGCTCGTTGTCTCCGATTTGAGATCTTCAGAAAGAGGTTTTTATCATTACACTTCAATCCGCTTTCACACGTTATCTATATGCAAGTTCATGACGTATTCCGTAACTACCTTGCAAGAATGCGGGCATCTGACAACAATTTCTTGTTTTATCTGAGACATATATACCAATTAGAAAATAAGACACCGAGCAATACAAAAAAATGGAAACCTTTCTTTTCCTCGCTGGGTCTTGTCTCCTAACTCCATTTGAAGACATAAATTAGTAATATCTTCACTTAAGCTCACGGGTGAGAATCGTTGTTTCATAAAAGAAATATTATAAGCTGTCAACGGCAGAACCAAAACTCGCTGAAATCGCCCTGAAATGGCCAAAACTGCTAAGAAAACACCATATCCTGATGTATTTTTATTACTATTTTTTACCCTTAAATAACGTTCTCTTAAATTTTCGGACAAACCCTCATAATATTTCTGTTATGCAACAACGATTCTCTTTCGTGAGCTTGGGGTACCTGTGGTCATTACTGTATGCGATTTTGGTAAGATTCCTACTGTTGTGTGATGTCCGAAGTCGAGCGCGTGTATCAGGATTTGAGTACGGGCCATGATTAGCCTAAAAAACAGCCATTGTGTATTTGCTATTCAGGATGAACGTAAATTCAAAACGCACTAGCAGTAATTTGTTGTGTTTGTTGGGGTCAAGAACAAGGATCTCGGCGCTGCTTCGCATTTTAAGGTATACGTCTAAAGTACGTCATTTCTTGCGCGTCTCGCGCGTCTCCAGTACTGGTAAGTCTGTGCTTCCCACTTAGCCTTTGGGAAGCTAGTGGAGGAGGCAGAAGAAAATGCATTATGGCTAACTATAATTACAGTTTTACATTTTTTGTGTGTTTCTGTTTTGGGTTGTTGATCCTCTTCGACGATTTTGTGATTTTGTTATATTTAATTCTGATCTGTCACGGTTACTGTTTTAGGCTTTTTGTACGTGTCTTTCCCTTTTGGGTGATGTATTAATACCGTTTCGGGAATTGTGTTCCTGTTTTCTGGTTGTGTATTTTTCTTGTTTTCGCTATTAGATTGCCGTGTTGGCTCGTGTGTTTCCGTTTTGGGTTTGAGGTTTTCTGTTTCTTTGTTTTGTTTCTATCGGCCACAGTATAAATTAAATCGTTATTCAGTGGCATCTAAATCAAACCACTGAAGACAACTTTTTACTTAACAGAGAATGTGCCGAGCAGATTTTACTGAAATCGTTTACCAGGTAAGAAAGATGCTCATTCAATTTGGAATTTCCAAACCTGAGAAGCTATTTTTTTATAATGTTTCTTTGGTCATGTTCCGCTGTACGTAGTTTCCTTAGTTTCCTATCTTCTCCGGCTTTTTATCCCTGAAAATAACTTTTAATTTAGCCTAGGTTGCGACAGCAAATCAACGTTTGTTTGTTCGATAATTTGTATGGTGTCCCGGACTCGACGCTTAGCTCTGACAGGAGTTTTAAGTTAAACTTTTAAATTTTGTTTAAATCATCTTTCCTTGATACTTCTTACACTGTAGGTGTTGGAGTTTCTAATGTTTTGTGTAAGTGATGATTTCATTTGATATCTTCAAACATTTTTTTAACTGATACATAAAATTATCCCTCTTTCAGGAAGAGAAAAATTATACATATCCAGTCAGCGGTACGAAAATTTATCCAATTGCAAGGTTCCTGACCTTACTGCAGTTTTCTTTGGTCTCCTTTCACCAAGAATTGGTAAGTTTTTGAAAAATAGAATTTATTTGATTGATTGATTGATGTCGCATTTCTCCTTCCTGTAAGGGGCGTTCCCACCACAACTATGTAGATTCTGGCCGTGGCCGGGTGCGTATATAAATTTGGGGGCAGGGCAGCCAACCTCTGTTGATTATCTGAAGACACGTTAACTAATTTGAATTGTACCTCATTTCAGGGAGAGCTGAATTATTTCAAGCGGATCATTGTGTCCAAGGTTCGAGACGTACGAGTTGTTTCCCATCATCTGTAACTGGTAAGTTTTGAATAAACAGACCTTAAGCCGCATGCAGTATCAATGCATGGTTAGGCCCCTTCAGCATAGAGCCAACCGAGGCAGTTACCGTGGATATAATTTTGAAGTTTCTTGTTTATCTTGCAAAAAATATTTCGCTAAGACGATATATTCTGAAGAAAACAAATTTAGATTTCTTTTTGATATTTCCTCTGAAAGGATATTTGTCTGGCTGGGGACTATATGTATGGTCTAAGTACTCATATTCATGCAGCTTAAAGCGTTTTATAGAAAGATCGGTCCATTTCATATGTCCCTCACAACAAAAGTGATATAGATAATACGTATTGGTCTCTACGACAGTGAAATCTAGGGAAGATCTCATACTATTGTTTATAAAGTTAAGTTTGTCTCTAACAAGATAATACACATTTAAGTTACCTGTCATCTGAATATGATTCTGAAACTCGTTTCAGATAGAGCGGAGAGCTGAAGCCAGAATCTTAAGCTGATCTTTGAGAGGTTTGTGGTGATTGAAAATAGTTGTTTTGTCTATTTTGTTTTTGTGATGTCACTTTTTAAGACTACAGCTCTTCCTGTGTGTATTTGCAAACGACGGTTAGCTCGCTGAAGGTCATTATGTACCCTGATTCTCAAACGGTATGAGCTTGCTTGCTCTTCCTCCATCCCTTCCCCCCCACCCCCCCCGTTCCTCCTCCCTCACTTCCCCCGAATCGTTTATATTTAATCTGGAATGTTTTTTAATGTATGTGCTTCAGGTTACCTGTACAACATAATTGTAACCATTTATTAATATTTCTGAGAATATGTCTCCAATCATCAGACAATGTGTTAATAGCAAACTGCTAAGCATTATCTGTAGAATTGAAAATAGGCTACCAGAAAATCGAATTCGAAGATCACCTTCACCAGAGAGTTTTCTTTTCATTAATTCAATTTGGGCCCATTTCTATACCAGCGCCAACACTCAAATTGAGAAGAAGTTTCATGCTTTTTAGTTTCACTCTTGGTTCAACGTACAGTCATTAGGCACTTAAATCAGACTCTGGATATAACTTGCTAGGCGGACACATCGTATCTTGTAACCTGTTTTTTATAAGATAGCACATTAAAGCCATGTCCAGGCGATCAATCCGTTATTAGGTCTATAAACGCAAATGCGTGTTTACAGCTACTCATATGCGAACAATATTTATCATTTATCCATTGACTGTTTAATTGACAATTTAACTGTAATCACGCGTGGAAGAACAAACCTGGACTAATTTCATTTTACAACCCGAGTACCAATCTCCTCTCAGTCCCCTAGTCGCCCTAAGGAAGAACGGAGACTTAAACTGTTCATTTAGAAGCAAAAATTATCTATTCAACTTTTTGCTGAACAATTCATCTTTTGTTATCTTCAGATTGATTCGCCGAAGCGAAGAAAAGGGAGAAGAAAAGGAGGAGTTTGCCAACAAACGATTGTAAGTTCCTGACTCTTTAAAAAATATTTTATCTAAAAGTTGCGTTGGAGCTGGTTCTGTTAAAACGGTTGCCACATTCTCTTAAAGTGATCTTCTCTCTGTTAAAGAAACTGACGATGATGAAATGATGAAACTGATCTTGAAATATAATTAAAAACAGTTTTTCTCAAAATTTGCAGAAATGGAAAGTAATATAATGGTCGAACATTTCGTATACACGAAAAAATTGCAATCAATTAATTTGCAACTTCAACACTAGTGACTGTCACTAATGGTTTGTCAGGAAAACTTTACACAGTAGTGTATATACTAGGATGAGAAACATAAGATATTTTTCATGTTACAGTCACGTTTAAAACATGACATATATTTGTACGGTAACGCATTATAGGCTAGAAGTATGTCTACGTACTTTAGTTATTAGCGGAGCTCCACGAGCGGGCGAAGCCACATACCTAAGAAAATTTGGTAATCTATCCACCCCAGAAATTTTGGTAAGAAGGGTTCCGACTTTTGACAAGCGCCAAATTTCCAGTGCAAGCTGTTGTCTGTTTGAATGAACAGTAAATAGAGTTACGCTTCAATATAAGAAGGAATTTATTATGTTTAGTTTTTTATGGTTTTATTATGTGTAATCATTAAACGCGTTTAATACGCGGGGCATTTTGAGTACTCCTGAATGCGATGTTCATGTACGACTGAAAACAAAAGGCATTGCGATTTTAAAAAATTGCGGAAGAGACTACTAACAATCAAGACAAGAAATACAACTCGCTGAAACATTTACAGAGACAACAATTGTTATTCACGAAGACAAGTGTTGTGAGTGAAGTGTTTCTGAAAATCCTGACGGTCATATAAAAAACCTTACAGATATAAACCGGCTTTCAGGTGTTTGTGACTTTTTCAAGATGAACTCGAGGCAAGAATATCGCTTCAAAGCTTTCCTTTTTTACAACCAATATTCTTCAGAACGTTTTCTCTCTATTTGCGGTCACAGAATGTCTAAAGGCTTTTAAAGTTCTGTATATCAAACCCGGCATGATATTAGGTCAGATCATTGTCTCAAATCTTAAAAACTTGCCGCAAAAACTGCGCTGGACTACGTATGACATTACCAGAAAAAAAAACATCAAATGCAATAATTACTCAGGCTTACCAGTCGAGATGCAGCTCCTGAAAGCCATCAAGTAAGGCCAGAATCGCCTCAGACTTTTCAACTCTCCTACGCATCCAGCAAGGTTAGGTAGAGGCTCATTTTTGAAAACGATGCCATCAGAAAACGGATTTCCGATGACTTGGAAAAGCGGCGCACTTCTCAACCAAAAACCCAATAAACAAACCAACCATGAATAACAAAAGAATCTTGATAGCAGCTGTCTTTCATTCTGTACAAGAATAAGATGACACAAAACTCTCAGCTTCAGCTATCACTAAACAAGTTTCCAGATAATGCATAAATATTCTGCGTGAACTCACCTGTCATATTTTGAGCAATCAGAGCATGAAAATGGCACGAAGAGCGTGACCAATGAGTCACCATGGTGAGAAAAGCCAAAAGCAACTGCCTTCCCGCCTGTAAAAACTGGCTGAATTTTCGCGTCCGGAGTCAATCAAGTTGCTCACTCTAACTTTTTGGCTGGTTTGGCTTCAACTAAGCTCAATGCTAAATAAAGAAGCTATTATTATTATTATCATTATTATTATTATTATTATGGAAGACATTATTGTAAAAGTATCGTCCTGAATATAATGCAATTGCGGGCCTACCGGCCTAGGCAATTATACTATTTACAAAAGCAGGAAAAAAACTGCAAAAGCTAAGGCTACGAATAAAATGCACAATAAGGTAATAAAAATCGATGATAATAATTCATGCAGTCAAAATCTAAAATAGAAATATATTCTTATCTACCTAGAATTAATCTCTGTGAATTAGTTAATGAAGCTAAACAAAGACTGTCAATGCAGAGTGAACCATTTTACTATATATTGTGCTGAGGTTTATAATGACTAACATTGCATGAAGGAGCGTAGCGTCCATATACGTACATACGCCCGTTCGTACAGCTGAGATCTGGAAAAAACACTTTTTTAAAATTTCCTGAAATCGCATGCCTTATAACTTTTTCGTATTATATGGGTGCTTTTGTTCGAATATTTCCTTTATCCTTTTCTTATTCTATAAACGGACGACAAGAAGCGTTTTAGTGGGATGAAAACGAAAACAAATGTACCCTTCCCTGCCCCCTATTGCATTTTTCTTCGTACTTATTTACTCAAAATGTTCTGCGGGAAACGCAAGAAAAGGCATTTCCCAGACCTTCAATTTAAAAACATTCTGGGAAACATGCGCCCAGACTCCCTATTTTGGAGTGCGTTCCGCGCTCTAACTTTTCTTCCTGTGCGCACACCTTCAAAATCTCTCGCTATGCCCCTTCATGCCCCGAAATCGATTTTCTGAAGATGATCCAAAGGTCCCAAAGATAGTGTACAATTCATTGTTCATTTAACTTTTCAAAGTCACTGATAGTGTGGCCCTGAAAAAAAGGGTTAAAATTGAGCATTTGGGCTATTTTGTCTGAAACATTGAACCACAGGTCTCAAGATTTAAAACTCGTTTTATTCAACTACCTGTTGATACAGGGGCACCCAACGACTGTTTTCTGTAAAATATTTGTTCGGAGAAGCAAATATTGCCTAGAATCTTCTTTTGCTTGAGGACGGCTAAAAATTTCTAAATGAACGTTCCATTTAATATGTTCAATTTTCGAAGCTTATCTAATAAATTCCCTACGACTTTCTGAAGTTTAATTTTTCATATTATACTACCCAGGTTACACTATTTTTCTTAGAAAAAGGAAACCGAAAATTTTCGGATTCTAAAATGTGATGGAGAGAGGAATCAGAAAAATTCTCACTTTCGTTAAAAGTTAAATTGCACCTAAAATTTCGGGAAAATAATACTGAAGTCCTCGTAATTTCGAAAAGACTTAAGTTCCCCTAGGATGACCGAACAGAGAGATCATCGAGATTAACCGTCATTTTATTTGACTTTTAAATTTCAATATTTTTGATAACTTGTAAGGTAATAACATAAGGGCTACAATTGACTATTCTTACTTTGTCGAAATTTCGTCTTTACGAGGGCCTCTCATTATTCTGAGTGTTGTCTCCGAGTTTCATATTTTGATGCAAAACAATAATTAAGACTTCTGCATATTTCAGATGCATTGTTGGTTGCTGCTGTTCATGTAAAAAATGGAACTTGGAGACAACGCCCTGAATAGTTAGAAACAAACTGTACGCTGACGACAGTGACAGTCATTACGAAGGAGCAATAAGGATTCAGTATTAAGTCAATTTGTGATCTGCATCAACAACAAACCTGCGGTTTAGGTCCCGTCCACACGAATCTTGATATTTTTTAAACCGCACTTTTTTGCACGAATCGGCCATTCGTCCACAAGAAACCAGTAAATCTGCTGTCCGAAAAGGCATCTTGTTGAAACCCCTGTCAAAACAGGTTTAAGAACCAAGGTAATAAAGTATATATGCATTTTCAAATTTAAACTGATTGGTGTAGACGGGACCTTAGTTTAAGCCGTTAAAAAAAGCGTTTATTAAGAAAGAAACACTAGATCGTTCACTCACGTACCAAGTGCTTATAAAAACTTCTTGGATAAACAAAAACTCTCACGTAAGAAAAGAGTTCAATCCTTACGGGACTGTTTTGGTACACTGACATTGCTCCCGTTTCTCACCTTTGGTTGGCCATTGTTTTGCTAAAAAAAAAACGTTCGCAAGCGCATCAGTAAGATTAAAATATGTGGGTTAGAGTGCAGAAGGATTTTAAATTTTTGTCTGTCTAATCCCAAAAAAAATTTCAGTTTAACACGTATTAGAAAGCACTTTTCTGCATTTTCTTCACATCAAAGGGCACAACTCTAAAGAAAACAGAAAAGTAGCCGACAGGAAAGAATGATAACTTTATATTTTCCTTTTCTAGGTATATTACCATCAAGAAACAGCCACACTTTTCATACAAGAACTGCTAAATGACAGAAAGGAGTAGAATAGAGTACCACGAGCAACAACTGAGCACTTCGATAGAGGTCGGTGACAGGGTCGAACAAGGACGGGCCTATTGCAATCTCGGCAATGCTTATCACTCCCTTGGCCAATTCCAACAAGCAATAGAGTACCACAAGCAATACTTGAGCATTGCAATAGAAGTCGGCGACAGGGCCGGACAAGGAGGTGCCTATGGCAATCTCGGCAATGCTTATGACAGCCTTGGCCAATTCCAACAAGCAATAGAGTACCACAAGCAAGACTTGAGCATTGCAATAGAAGTCAGCGACAGGGCCGGACAAGGACGTGCCTATGGCAATCTCGGCAATGCTTATCAATCCCTTGGCCAATTCCAACGAGCAATAGAGTACCACAAGCAACACTTGAGCATTGCAATAGAAGTCGGCGACAGGGCCGGACAAGGAGGTGCCTATGGCAATCTCGGCAATGCTTATGACAGCCTTGGCCAATTCCAACAAGCAATAGAGTACCACAAGCAACACTTGAGCATTGCAATAGAAGTCGGCGACAGGGCCGGACAAGGAGGTGCCTATGGCAATCTCGGCAATGCTTATCAATCCCTTGGCCAATTCCAACAAGCAATAGAGTACCACAAGAAACACTTGAGCATTGCAATAGAAGTCGGCGACAGGGCCGGACAAGGACGTGCCTATGGCAATCTCGGCAATGCTTATAAATCCCTTGGCCAATTCCAACAAGCAATAGAGTACCACAAGCAACACTTGAGCATTGCAATAGAAGTCGGCGACAGGGCCGGACAAGGACGTGCCTATGGCAATCTCGGCAATGCTTATCAATCCCTTGGCCAATTCCAACAAGCAATAGAGTACCACAAGCAACGCTTGAGCATTGCAATAGAAGTCGGCGACAGGGCCGGACAAGGATGTGCCTATGGCAATCTCGGCAATGCTTATGACAGCCTTGGCCAATTCCAACAAGCAATAGAGTACCACAAGCAAGACTTGAGCATTGCAATAGAAGTCGGCGACAGGGCCGGACAAGGAGGTGCCTATGGCAATCTCGGCAATGCTTATCAATCCCTTGGCCAATTCCAACAAGCAATAGAGTACCACAAGCAACGCTTGAGCATTGCAATAGAAGTCGGCGACAGGGCCGGACAAGGACGTGCCTATGGCAATCTCGGTGGTGCTTATTTATACCTCGAGGAATTCGAGCAATCAATGAAGCACCACAAGCAATGCCTTAGCATTGCAATAGAAGTCGGCGGCAGGAATGAAGAAGGATGGGCCTATGGCAGTCTCGGCTCAGTTTATGAATCCCTCGGCGACCTTCCAAGAGCAATAGAGCATTATGAACAAAGTCTAAGCATTGCTAAGGAAGTGGGCAACAGGTCCAGAGAGGGATATGCCTATGCCTATCTCGGCCATGCTTATATGTCCCTTAAACAATTCCAACAGGCAATCGAGTACCACAAGCAACAGCTCAAAATTGCTAAGGAAGTGGCTGACATGTTCCTAGAAGCACTGTCCTATGCATACTTGGGTGAAACTCTTATGTTGTCAGGTTCTTTGGATGAGGCTGTAGTTCATTTCAAATTCAGCGTAAAAACGTTCGATACTATTAGGGGTAGTTTCATTTCGGAAGATGCATGGAAAATAAGTTTTCGTGAGCGTTACGCATCTAGCTATCGTTGTTTATGTCGCGTACTTATAGCGCTTCAAAAGACGGGTGAGGCTTTGTACGCGGCCGAACGGGGACGAGCAGGGGCTTTGCTAGATGCCTTGAAAATAAAGTATGGCTTTACATTCCTTTCGCCCATTTCAAATGAAACTGAGGAAGATTTCGCATACATTTCAAGGAACACATCTGTTTTGACAACGTTCATTGCATTGGACAATGGGACAATAAGCTTGTGGGTACTGGGAAAGAAAACCAACGCTATTTTTAGGCAAGCAGTATCAAAAAGTAAAGGTTCACACAAAGATCCCTTTGATGCACTTTTGAAAGATTCTTTGAAAAAAATTGGGGCTGGCAGAGATGTTAGATGCGAGAATCGGTCACTTGATGTTTTAAGCGATAAGTCAGCTTCCAGTACTTGGGGTGATGATAAAACATCGATTCCATCACACGAGAATATCGACTGGTTACAGCCATTGCATGATGTAGTTTTTGGTCCCATTGAAGACTTACTTGATGGCGATGAACTGGTTGTAGTCCCTGATGGTGCTTTGTGTTTAGCTCCTTGGACAGCCCTAAGTGAAACTTTAAGGATCCGTATTATTCCCTCACTGACAAGTCTGAAAGTAATAAGAGATTCTTCAAGTGAATACCACAGTAAAACTGGCGCCCTGCTTGTTGGAGATCCATGTTTGAGGAAAGTTACAAATAAAAGGGATAAACCCATTTATGATCAGCTGGAGTTCGCAAAAACAGAAGTGGAGATGATTGGAAAACTTCTTGACAGCCAACCACTCACGGGAGAAGCTGCAACCAAAGAAGAGGTGCTTCGGAGAATAGATTCAGTCGCTTTGATTCACATTGCAGCACACGGAGGACAGGAAACTGGTGAAATTGCATTGGCTCCCAACCCCGAGTGGCAATCCAAGACTCGTATCCCTACAGAAGAGGACTACATGTTGAAAATGTCTGATTTACAAGCCATTAAGCTGAGAGCGAGGCTAGTGGTTCTTAGTTGCTGCCATAGTGGTCAAGGAGAGGTCTCGTCTGAGGGTGTGGTCGGTATGGCAAGGGCTTTCTTGTTTGCTGGTGCTCGTTCTGTGCTGGCGTCACTCTGGGCAATTGATGATAAAGCCACAATGGTGTTTATGGAATGTTTCTACCAACACCTGAGAGTTGGAGAAAGTGCCAGTACTGCTCTGCAGAAGGCCATGAAGCGCCTTCGAGATTCGGACGACTTTTCTGCCCCAAAGTACTGGGCTCCATTTGTGCTGATTGGCGATGACGTCACCATGGAATTTGATGTAAACCGTTGAGAAAGCTGTAAGTACAGACTTTTCTTTTGTTTTAGATTACGTAGGGTCCTAATATATTAAATAAGGTTTAAGGCTTTATTGTCTTCAAATTAAAATGTAAAGGAATTGACAAAATTAAATACAAATAAGCAGTAAAAGCAAGACAGTGTGAATAATATTGACAAAATAAATAATATGATTGTTCGTTGATGTACAATCATTCTGGATTTACGTAATCAGATTTCATTTCTGTAATACAAAATTGTTTAAAAACGTTTGTTGAACACTATAGAAAAGCTCAATAATCATATAATTAACTGCAAAATCATCAGTATTTACTGTAAATGGCTGTTGCCGTGACATACTGGCTTTGGATTATGCTTTGAGAATTCTTAGTTTTTGCCTCAACATTTTATTTTGAACTACCATTAAGTCATCATTTTATCCGATTCAAAAGAGAAATGTGATATTTGCCAAAAAGAGTTAAAACCTTTATTTTATGATTTGTTATGAGCAGAAAAGCAGGTTAAATAGACAGAAATTAAAATAGACCAAAAAATGTTTCTAAAAACCCATATTTGTGTCTACACCATATAGCTAGATAATACAAGTAGCTCTAACATACTCTCTTGTTGTAAAGTAATGAAACGTTTTGAGCTCCTGCCCAACTTTGATTTTACATTCGTCTCATCCTTGCTATCCTGTAATCTAAGGCTTTTTTTTCTTAAAACCTCTATAGAACGAGTAGTATTGAGGCCGTTATTTCGCTGTTCAAGCGTATTAATTAATCAATTGTTACTTTATTTACAGGGGCCGTGCCGATTGCAGGGAGATGTCAAAGAAAGAGTACTGCTGAATCCAAGGAACATTATAATATCAAAGTCTATTTTACCTGAGGAAAACAGGTTTCGTGTAACCGTAGAAAGTGAATATTATTCTATTTTACTCCCTAAAACTATTGCAGCGAAACAGCATTAGCTGATAGAGAAATTTTACTTTCTTTGATGATGTTGAAATACGTTTCTCAAATGGTACTTTCACTTACGCACGTGTTCCTTCGGTTAATCATTGCCTTAGAACAAATCTATAGAGCATAAAATATCTACAGTTTTGGGCCGTTGATTTTGCTATATATTCTTATACTTTACATATTGTTAAAAGTATTTTGCCCAAAAGTTAGGTTTTTCAGCGTTAACTATTGGGAGTTTACCCTGAAAGTGTTAAAATCAGTTTCCTAAATGATTTTTTACACCCTAGCTTGTTGTGCTTAGGGTAACATTTTGTTTGCGTAACAACCAAGGAAATTGGCAAATTCATGGAAAATTTACTCCGTCTAGACAAATGAATATGCGTTTTTGTCAAAGGATAATACATTCACGAACTTTAAAGGCTAAATTTTGGCCTTGTGGATGACGTTGGATGGAAGGCCATAAAGCGTTATAAACGGAAGCGTCTCCAAACTAAAGCGCATCGCAACAGGTTTGTCAGGGGCACCCAACGACCGTTTTCTAGGAAATATCTGTTCGAACCTCTCTAGTATGCCTAAATTTTTTATAGCGATGCGAATTATTCATTTATATTGCTTTTAAAACACTCCAGGAAGCCTATAAAGAGAAATTTCAGAGCTGATTTTCGTGATAAAGCTGTCGTTGGGTGCGTCTGATTAGTAAGTTAGTAAATACTATTTTAGTTAAAAGTGTAACTTACTATTCCTTGAGTGACATAACAGTTATAAGAGGGTCCTGAAGGGGTAAAATAGGAACTGAGATTTCACATTTTTTGGAGTGGGAAAATGGGATTTACTGCACTGGGAGGGGCATGAACAATTTTGAAAATGGCATTGTGGTTTCTCTTCTTTAGAGGACTTGGACTCAATTATTTGACACAATTTTGCACAAATAAGCCTACTTTTGGAAATGGAGAAATCCAATCATGAATCAGTAAACCAAAGTATAGCAATGCATGAATGAATGGTTTGTTGTCGCTGAAATGACATGCCCGGCCATTTGAGAAAGATCAAAATGGCGTCTGATTTAAAAAATGTTTCCCGCGCTTTGCACAGTTATGGTCATCGAAATGTTTGAGTTCAGCAAACAATGCGGTAATCCGCGCAGAAAATTGCAAACTATAATCTTTAACTGATTTCGACTGAACCGTGACAACTACTGACGCGGCGAAGCGGAGATAGTGCGTGAGTCGGATGAAGATGTTGAAAGTGAGATTGAGACAAGTATTTTTAATATAGTTATGCCAACAAGAGTTGGAGGAGAAAGATTGTTCACTTGTCCAGTAGAATGAGAGTTTTTTTCTTTCCAGATGAACTGATGTATCCAGACGGTGTCAATCAGTGCAGCTTTTCATTTATTATGTGCATGCCATCAGTTTCCGGCAAACAGCCACTGGGAATGGGATTTGGACCAAACTTAGGATGGGACTGGGATTTGGTATACCTCCCTTCAGGACCCTCTTATAATATTGTTGTTATCTTATATAAGTACCGAACTGTGGTTCATATAGTTCAATTGCTTAGTAACAGTGATACGCTTTTTTAATGTTTTATTGACTGGAGAACTTAATTTTTTGTAAAAGTAAGGCTGTGCATTGATCAAACAGATCAGTTCCAGAGCACTTGTTTAGCATCGTGTTGTGGTTAGGCGCTAAGAAATTTTATGTACCTCAATCTTTTAAACTAAGATTATTCTATAAGGAATCTAACGAATTTTTAGCTACCTGAAGGTGAAGTGTTTTCCAGGCCAATGACGTATAGCATGGCCATGGTCATTTTAAGAAGTGCTCAGCATTCATTTAGTAGATTTGCATTATTACGTCGACTTGATTACATCAACTGCTTGTATAGCTAATCTGGGCACGTCGCGTGATACAGTGTTCAGTTTCTAATGTAACTGTCAGCCTTGTTATGTTGCATTAAATATAAAGAAAAGGAGACTGAAGTCTTACTGTGATTGTTGATGTCCACAACGTAAAAACGCTTTCTGAAAAAACTCTTCCCCTTGAACACTGACCTCCAAAGTCAATATTTGATTAGGAAACCACTTCTTCCTGTCCCTTCGCTGAGGCTTTAATCATTTCCGATGCTAAAAGTTTTTTTTTTAATTGGTCATCACCCCTCTCCCCTCCCCCCCATTCTCGACCTACAATCTTGGATAAAACTGTTGAGAAAATTGTATACTTGGACAGCATTTTTCTAAACATCGTAGCTGTACCAGTTCTTCCCTCTTCCCCTTCCCCTAAAAGCAATGTTGTTGTGTATTCAAAAGAAAGCCTGATCCCTGGGCGTTTGTAGAAAGCAACATTGAATTGGGGGAAGAGGTTTTCTCTCCGCAATACGTCGTTCTGGAAATAGTTTTGTTGCATAGGAAATTGGACATGATGGGGAAAACTTTCTCAAGTAGTTTTGTCCGGAATTGTAGGTTACAACTGTTTTTCATCTGATCGGGTAAATAACAGAATGCTCCAATCTGATTAATTTTTATCAGCCTTCATTTTTTGCTTATAAAGCACCAAAACTGTATGATTTTACCTGTCCGATTACAGACATGATGTTTTGGTTCCAAGGGGCGGAATAACCCCCAGCTCTCTTTTTCCTCAACGAGAAGACGCACGAAGGCGTTTACGCGGGATATGTTGATGTAAGAAGAATTACCGTTATGTTGAATGGCAATGGAAAGTTGAGTAGTGTATGCAACAAATGTGTGCAGGAGAGACGGAGATGTTCTGTTAAGGACTAATACACTAGAAGATGAGTTACACACAAGAGTTCCTTTGCTACTCAAAACAAAACTTACATCAATATTACCACCATATATGTTAGGATGGGATAGTTCACTAAAATTTGCATTCCGTTACTAATGTCCTCAAAAAATGCACTTCCACATTCAACAATAACATGTAATGTATCATACTTCCAATAACTACAGGGCTGCAAGGCTGTGCTCTAGGGAAGATTTCAGAGAGCCCTTCGGGCTCCCCAAGCATTTTTAGCTGGGGTGCCCGGGCCTCCAAGTTGGTCGCCCAAATTAATAAATCAATGAGCTGTTAGTTAATCATTAAAAATTAAACAAATTATTTTCTTAACAAGTCAAGCAGAATTTTGTGAATATTTTTTTCATGAAAAATCACATCCCTTTGACCTCCTGAGCGTGCGAAAAAAATTAACCCCGCATGTTGTCATATGAAAGTAAGTTTTCGTGCCATGAGAAACATGGGCAACGCCGCCGAATATTTCATATTTTTTAAATGGAAAAGTAAGATTCTGGTCTGTTTTTGTCTTTTTTATAAAAAAGAAAATTGAGGTCAAAAATAAGGGCACCATTCTTTTTACTAATCATTTTGATTTAGGTTGAAAAGAAAATTTGCTTATTAAGATTGACTGAGATCCCGTGAAGCTTTCCAGGAAAACTGTTACGATTTCAACGAAACCGCGGTGCCCCCCGGGGGGTTACGTGGGGTAATTTTTGCTGGGTATGTGCCGCTGGCCTCTCAGAGCCCCTAGACCCCATATTAGTCACTCTTGGGCAAATATGTAATTTTTGCGATCCCAACTTTCTATTTATTTATCTTCCTTATCAATCCTTTAAATAGGTCATCAAAAAATGAATTGACCCATTTTTTAATAAATTGAATGAAGAACACTTTACTTTTCACTTACAGTACAAATATCCTGGTACGTTTGCTAACCGTAAATATGAACAACTCTCTTGCCCCAAAAATCCGAAAATGTGCGGCCCCATTCTAGTAACTCTTTTGAAAATGCAACCCCATTATAGTCAATACAGTCGTGAAAATGCGACCCCATCCAGCGGCATATCTCCCCATTAGCTTCTTATAAGGAAGTGCCCCTCCCGGGTCCGCCCAAAAACTATTATCTCTTTTGAATAGATCATCTTGTTGTAAAGTCGTCGTTTTAAAAGCGCATAAACGGACGTATTTTCTTTTTATATTATCGGTGAAATGTTCAGGACAAATGTGGTTTCGGTTAGCTTTCGCGTATTTATTTTTAGTACGTGATACGTAATGCCTTGTGACGACGCGAAAGACAATGCGGGATTTTATAGATTTATACCCCCTTCCTACCCGATTCTAGAACAATCACAATAATAGTCGTCTCTTTTCTTTTTTATACATCGTATTTTACTGAAATAGCAATCTTAGTTATGTTTTAGCCTCACAGACACTGCAGTAAAAAAAGGTAAAAATATTTAACTAACGGAAAAGACCGACTCTCGTGTTTATTCAGCGATTTTTCAAAATACAAAACTATTGTTTTGCGTCGCCGACCGTACTTTACGCCTGTCAGAGCAAAAGTAACAATTTGTTTAGAAAAACTAACTAATGAACCATCCTAATTTGAAGGAAAATTTCAATGTTATTATGAAAAGCTGTTACTATCGAAAACTGTGCAGCTTGTCACGTTCATAGTCAAGGTTATGTTACATGTGAATTCACGTGAAACGACCTTTGAACAACAATACAACGCGTGCCCGCTGCCCGATTCAACAACATTTTCTTAAAGCTTTTTGATAGCCTGCAGTGCAGGCGTATTTTGGGTGGGCGAAAGCTTGTTAATCGGATCGCTACGATGAAGCCGCCATCTTTGATTCTATGACAGAGGAAGATTGGGGAGAGTAGTAATATTAACCCTGACGGTAGGTGTGAGGGCAAAAAAAGAAGAGGGGGGAGGGGGAGGGGGGAGTCCCCTTGACTCGCCCCATTTCCTCCTCTCTTCGGGAGTTTCAACATGGCGCTTTCGCGATTAAAACCATTCGCGCGCGCCCGATGAAAACGCCTGCACTGCAGGCTAGCTTTTTGATAGACATGCTACTTACAAGTCGACCTCAAGAGTTTCGAAGCGAGTGGAGCGTTCTTTTAAAGCCGTGA